TAAGTTACGCGCGACTTATCCGGTTCGGTTACGCGCAGTAGAGATCGTGCGGGCGCCCTGATCAAGCGACCCTTCTCTATATAAACCGACTTGCCGTCTTCACGCAACTCACGAAAAATCAATCTAGGGTTTGCCTCCTACTCTGTACTGCGCCGTCGCTCGTAGACTACTCCATCCCGCTCGCCGGCGTGCACCGGCGATCGGGAGAGCAGGTCTCCGGAACCTCTGCCTTCGACGTTCTGCACCGGGAGAAGGCGGCAATAAGGTTTTTGGAAAGCGCTTCGCGCGACTGCTCCCTGTTCGTTCGCGACGGCTCGCCTTCCTCTTCGCTCGCGTGTTTCGTGCCTTCGTAGACACTTGCGAAAAGTTTCGACCAAGCAGCCGGTCTTTCCGTCACCTCGGTACGTGTTCAATATGTTGCGCATATTTGATCTGTTCATGTTATACTGTGTAGTTTACATGTGTAGATCTAATGATGCGTTCATGCTAGTTTTCATCTGTAATGTCATGATTTATTTATGGAATAGATTAAATCATTATATGTCTATAATCTCAACAGTAATTTTACAATATTTCATAAGAACTGATTTATTTTATGTAAAATTTCTCGATACCAAAGAAAACCTTAGTAGCAGTAGGTCAGTATGCAGGTGCAGATGTGCAGTCGCCTATCAACAAGTGATGTTGCTGCAACAAGATCTCGAAATACCCGGGACCATGTGCTGCAAACTTGCATTCTATACCGTCTAAGAAAAGTCTTTCAGTAAAAATAAGCTCTTCACGGTATATGGACGACAAGACGAGAGAAAATAATATACTCTCTCCATCTCATAATATAATTTTTTTTGCGATGTGATATCCCTGTTCGTGATATTAGTAAGTGTCACATCCCACCAAAATCTTTTATACTATAGAACAGAGGGAGTATTCATTAAGAATTTATTAAACTTAACTCTGTCGAAGTGAAGGGAAAGTAGCTTGTTAGAAGTATGGACGTTAGGTCATTTTCACCCGGATTTTTTTTTCTTCTAGGTGAGAAAGTTTTCTTTTTAGAAAAAACCTAACATTTTCTTGTGGGTGCAGGGTTGAATTTTCATGCCTTTCTCAATCCTCACCGTCGCAGCAGAGAAGAATAGTCACAGAGCAATGTTCACTTGTTTAGAGTCACAGAGCAATATCGAAATGGTTCCCTGCAATAATATTTTAGATGAGCGGCCGGCCGGTGAGAGCGAGAGTGAGAGGAAAATGTCAATTCAGTGTGACAAATACAATAAATATATAAGTGAGAGATAGATAGAGAAGAAGAAAATTATAGCAAATTTTATTGCTAATCTATTACTAAATGTTAGTTTTAAGATTGATTAATAGTAGTAAATGAGCTTTAATATTATCCTTGCTCTTACTGATGTAAATACTACTCCTACTAACTTTCACCTCCTAGAAACGAGCCCACGAAATGACAAGTTTATAACGTTGTTGTCTGCAACCGATGACCAATAAGGCCGTAACACGCACTCTCTTTCTCTTCCCTTGTCGACACGGTCAGCACAGTAACTGTCGCGCTTCACTTCCTTGTCTGGTTAGCAGAGCACAGCTGCACAGGAGAGCATCCAGTGCCGTCAATTTTGTCAAAAGAGAAAAAAACAGAGGTAATTACCGGACGTCCAGGGTGATCTGATGCTCTAAGTAAGCTAGGCTAAAGTAGCTTTAGACTTTACGCTTACTCATTCCTCACATGATTTGAGTGCCACTATAGGCAGTAGAAGAGAGGAGCGGAGTAAAGTAGACAGTGAAATCCACATCGGAGGTGATGAGCATACTTAATTACCGCAAGTCACTAGCTTTAACTAGCCCAGATAACTTTGCTTCAACTGCTAGTGGAGTAGTACACGAGTCGCGTAGCAACGTATCTGGCGTAATCCTCACTTGCTCCACTGCTCCACACACCATTGGCCTAAGCTTATGGGCTGATCAAAGTATGGAAATTAGTAGCAGTGGGAAGAAATGTGAGCTCGAATCAAGCGTGGTTATCAGGTTAAGTCGCATTCAGCGCCATAATTGAGCTGCCTGCCCGGTTGGTTTGGCCTGGCCAATCTGAATTTACTGAGTATGCAGTACACCAGTAGTACCCTTTCAATTCTTTCGCCTGTCTCCATGAATGATCTAAACATGAACCCTGCTCTGCAACGCCGGAATAGTGCGCACACGGCATGGATCAACAGGAGGAGTATTTACTAGCCCAAGAATGTGAATCAATGCAACGCCGGAATTGCAGCTGAGAAATGGAGATAAAAAGATGATTTGTCAGCGTTTTCTGTTTGCATGTAGTAGTCCATCATCGTTACAATGGTCAACAAAAGAGGGTAATTGACCCAGGACGGGATCACTGGTAGACCAGGTGGTCAAAGTATGAAGTAGGGAAAGCAGCCTATGGGCCTGTTTGGTATAGCTCTAACTCCTAAATTTAGCTTCAGGAGTTGGGTCTGGAGTGGAGTTGTGGAGCTGCCTAAACCCAGCTCCACAACTCTAGTTCATTTTGTGAGAGAGCTCCACCCAGCTCCACTCCCAGTTTTAGTGGAGCTGAAACTGTTTGGCTGAGCTCCAGCTCCAGGAGGGGTGGAGCTGGAGCTGGAGCTGTGCCAAACAGGCCCTATGTTTCAGTAATCCAGTCTACGACAGGTTGATCCGTTGATGTGGTACACCATCTAGCCGGCCATACTGAGCTGCCGTTGAAGTGTTGAACGCGATGCAGTGCTGCTGACTTTGCTGCGCCGATCAGTGCAGCCTGCAGCGACGGCATGCAGCGTGCTAACATACCTTTCGCTTTAAACTCGTGGAGTACTCTTACTTCCTATCCATGAGACAAGAAAAAGCCTTAGGCCTTCTTTAGATATCACTCTAAAATTTTTCATCATATCACATCGAACATTTGAACACCTGCATAAAATAATAAATATAGGCTAAAAAAATAATTACACGGATTACGACTAATTTATGAGACGAATCTTTGAAGCCTAATTGCTAAATGATTTGACAATGTGGTGCTACAGTAAATATTTGCTAATAACAGATTAATCATGCTTAATAAATTTGTCTCGTGGTTTACTCAAGTATTCTGTTTTTTTATTAGTGCCTGAACACCTCATACGATACCCTATATAATATCCGATATGACACGCTGAAACTTTACATCCCTTATCTGAAATTGGGGAGAAGTTTGGGAAAAGTTGTTAGTCTAGAAAAAAAAGTTATAAGTTTATATGTGTAGGAAAGTTTTGGATGTGATGTGATGTGATGTAATGGAAAGTTGGGAGTAGAGGTGGATAGCGAGCCAGCTCGGCTCGGCTCGGTCGAGCTCATTAAGATAACGAGCTGGCTCGGCTCTGCTCGTTATCTTAACGAGCTAAAAACCTAGCTCGAGCTGGCTCGTTTGGCTCGTGAGCTAATGCCCTGAAACACTGACCCAAACAATTTTTTCAATGGATACACAGGGTAAGTGCGTAAGTGCAATGAGGTGCTGAAACTGGACCTATAATTGAAGAACTAAAGTACTGAATATAAGATTAACAACAACAAATCGCGCATTTGCTCTGGGATCTGGTTGAGGTAGCTCCTGATCCTCCATGGCAGCCAGCGGCGCAGCCACACAGCCAGCAGCGGACCATGGACGTGGATGATGAGTGGCGCGGCGTGGGGCGGCGTCGTGGAATCATGGGCGATGAGCGGCGGCGCGAGCGCATGACACTCGCTGCTAGAGCGCTGGTGCCTAGCGCGGAGGTGGATTGGCGGCGGCAGAGCGACGGTGGATTGGTGGCAGCGGAGCAGTGGAGTGAAGAGGAGAGGGAGATCCGGAGAGGCAGTGGCGCACGGGATGGTGGCGTCGTGGTGGGTTGGCGGCGCCGCACGGAGTGAAGAGAAGAGGAAAGGGGACGCGAGTCGCGAACTCGCGATGGTGGGTGGCGCGGAGCGAACAGGAAGAGGAGGGCGAGACTCATGTGGTGGTAGGTCAGCTAGGGTTGTCCTTATATGATGGGCCATTCGTCTATGGGCTTTGTGGCCTTTGTGGCCTGCTGTTGTTGGGCTGTTGGCTAATGAAAGCTCGTTAAGGCTCGCGAGCAGCTAGCTCGAGCTGGCTCGTTATCTCTAACGAGCTTTAGAGCCAGCTCGGTTCGTTACGAAATTTAAATGAGCCGAGCCGAGCCGAGCCGAGCGAGCTAACGAGCCACGAGCTTCCTGTCCACCCCTAGTTGGGAGTTGAGAGAAAGTAGCTTCCTGTCCACCCCTAGTTAGGAGTTGAGGGAAAGTTTGGTGTGAACTAAACCTAAACCGGGCCAGGACACCCCTAAACACGAGATGCAAATGCGTTGCAAATCCACCTACAAGGGCGACGTAATATCACGCGCGAATTGAATGGCATTTGCTGCTTCCTGGGGAGAAAGATGGAGTACAAAAATTAATGCCATCTATTACTACTCCCTCGCACCTCATGTGTTTGCTGCCTGGAGCAAAGGATTTTTACCGGTCCAATTCGGGGCACACGGACGAGTAGCATGAGCTTCTGGGACTCTCACACGCCCATGGCCTCGCATGAGTCACTGACGTGTGTGGTGGTGCAAGACTCTAGCTCTAGGACTGTGCGCCAACCTGCAACAGACGCCGAAGCGAAGCTCCTAGACTGATACTCCTAGATCCTAGCACAACTCCTTGGGATCTCACTGACCGGTGGGCCCCAGCAGGGCTCGGCTCCAAAGCAGCGTCAAAGAACGCCGCGGGGCCCGCATGACCTAGCGATCCCGAGATGGGCCCACGGTTACAGAAGCAAGGAGCGCTCGTGAAAAAACAGCAAAAAGAAATTAAAAGCCCTCGAAAAAGAAAAGAAGGCCGGTGCGGGGCCCAGAAGGCAACGGATCCCACTAGCCAACACCGTCAGGTGGGCCCCGCGTACGGGCCCACCACCCACCCTTTTCTCCCCCTCAACCTTAATAAAACCACCTCCCACCGCCTGTCTCCCCTTTAAACGCAGCAGCACGAACACTTCCCCGTGCCCGCGCCTCGCGACGGGCCCAAATCCAACACGACGACGAGGAGGAGGAGATCGAGTGCGCCACCGAATCGAATAACCACAAGCCGCGGAAGATTTCCCCTCCCCCCGGTGGATCCCTCCTCCTCCTCCTCCTCCTCCTCCTCCTCCGGGGTCGCCTCCTCCCCTCCGATGGAGTCCGGGAGCGAGAGCGGCAGCGGGAGCGGGAGCCGAGGGGAGATCACGCTGGCCATCGGCGGTGGCGGCGCGTCGGCGGCGGCGTGGACTCGGCTGGTCAGCTCCGGCGTGGAGGACGTGCTGGTGGTGGGGGGCGCGGGTGGCTGGCGTGGAGGAGGAGGAGGAGATGGAGCGGGTGGGCTGCTGCCGTACGGGCACTTCCTGGAGGCCTGCTTCCTCTGCCGGAAGCCGCTCGCCAGCAACCGCGATATCTACATGTACAGGTAATCCCTCCCTCCGCTCGACGCCGATGCCTGATTCGGTTCGTGTTCTTCTGCTGGGTTAGTTTGGTGTATTTGGTAGCGGTGGGTCCCGTGGCCGGGACTTCTCCGGCGTCATTGGAAGCTTTGTTTTGTATATGAAGAAAAGGAAATTTTGCCGCTGATTCCAGCTGAAGCCTGCGGGAAAAGTGAGAGTTAGTGCATACTCCGATGGAGTATTTCTCAGGGTTTTTTTTGTCGTCTGCACCGTCCGTTTTTTTTATTGGTGCGTTAGGTTGCTACGCTTCTGAGCTGAAGGGAAGAAATTTGTGCGAGTATCCTTCAAAAGAGAAAATTATGCGACTTGTTTTTTCCCTTCTGCCGGATTTTGCGTTGGTGTAAAGGTTTTGTCGTTCATATTGTGTTCGTACAAGCCCTTGTTTACTTTGGCGCGTGAATATATTAAATCCTTAGTGGGTGGGCTTATTTATGATCATGCTGTCATCAAGAGTAGATACCAACTACTGTTTGCTCTTTGTTTATGAAGCGTCTGATTCGGGAGGGAGTTGGATGCTAGGCACGGACGATTTCTTGCTCTTTTTCCCCCTTCCAACGAAAATAATGAACGTTTTTGCTGCTTAACCATGTTAGTTTCGAACAGGTGGATGAATTGAACCGAACTGCGGCTATTTTTTGTTCTCCGATCTTTTGGTTTCTTTCTTAATTGTGATCTAGTGGTGGTGGTGGATACAGCTATCGAAGAGAGCCGTCCTTTTGAATTTATTTTCAATTTTTCATGTAAGAAAATTAATTGTTCATTGATGTGTGCTCACGGGAACTTCTGATGAAAGGGACCTGCAACCTAACTGGATCTTTCTGAATCTTAAGACTTTGAATTTTTCCTGTTAAAGAAAATGCTTGTTAGCTTATTTAAACTGGATGTTGTGACTTGAACACACCGTGTACAGCAATACAGCATGATATATCATAGAAGAAGAAATAATTCAGACATGTAACTAGTGTGAAGACTTATCAGTTAAACAGTAAAATGCAATTTCTTTTTTTAGATAATGGAATCGATTCTCTGTTAAATGAAATTCTTCGACGTAATTGCCCTCGTCCTTTTATAGCTGGTAGGCTAGTAGCTATTGTCACATTCATGTCACTAAGTTTGCTAATTGATGATCCTACGGATCCTTTGGTTGAGCAGGGGGGACATTCCGTTCTGCAGCGAGGAGTGCAGGAGGGAGCAGATCGAAATGGACGACGAGATGGAGAGGAAGGAGAAGAAGAACATCTCCAAGAAGGTGGCGCCACGTACTCCCGACCCCAGAGAGGTGGAGTCCACTCCGAGGCCTCCGAAAGCTCGCGCCGGCTCGATCCTCGCCGGGTGACAACTGACAAGGAGGAGGGACTGAAAGTGAGGAAACTCCTCCGGGATTGTGCTGCTCGTTTTCCGGCAAGCCAAGACCAGATGATCCTCACACCTTACCACCAGAAAACTATCACTTACAAAGTTACATATGGGTTTGTGTTTTTGTTTAAACCCCCTTTGCTCTTTTGGTGGTGTTTGTTAGCGCCTCCCTAATATCGGTGATCGATGATGTATAGAGACGGATGGAAAGGAAGATCAGCGCTGGTTATTAGTAGGAGTGACTGGCTGACTGCAGCTTTCTGTAATCTGTGTTATCAAGGGGGGGGGGGGGGGGGTTTCCTGACCTTCGTCTTGGGGGTGTTGTGAATTTTTCCTACGTGTAGCTGATTACTGTGGTAGGTGTAAGGTTTTTTCTAATGAATCTGAGGAAACATATGCCTATAGAAGAAATAGACATATGGACGAATGAATCCTTGACTTTTTTTCATGTACTGTAATCTTTTCGTTGAAGATCTTGTATGAGCTGTGACAGGAAGCTCAGGAAAGATCTTGTGTGTGCTTGTTGCTATGGTTGATGGAGCATGTGCAGCAGTTTATTGACCCTTAACTCGGTACAATTCTCCAAAATCAATTGGAAGCATATTTTTATCAAATGACCACTGAACTTTCATGGTAGAACCATGAACCTCATAAACTTTCAAACATGTACTTATGCACAATCACATACTATTTCAACAAAATACACACCGTAAAATGATAGGCTCTTAAGACAGTAAAATGATGTTATACGTAGTACTACGAGCACTTGACCTGCAAACAGAAAAGGCATTCATCCTCTGATGTGTCAACGAGACGAGGACAAAAACAAATCAATCGGCAATTAAAGAATACTAGCAGTACAACGTACAGTCATGACCAAATCTAGAAGGACAGCAGAGCAGACGTACTCACAGTTTCACAGTGCAGGCTAAACGACAGCCTCTCCCAGGCTACGCTCCCTTTGACCCCTAGCATCTACCGGTAGCCGAGTACTCCCTCTATTTCATAAAAAACCAACTTAGCACTGAATGTGCACCATTGTAATTTGTTTTTTTTTAAAACGGAGATAGTTCCTATGTACCACTGCACTGTACTAGTAGTACGAGTAGATTAGAGTACGGAGTAGAATAGTAGTACTCCGTATTGTATTTTACTACACTACTGCAGCTGCCACAGTGCCACTTCAATTCTCTCTTTCCCGTCCGTCACGAGCCTTGTGGAAGAATAGGAAAGGAATTGAATGCCACTTGACGCGAAGGTGCAGATCGAGCAGGTGAGGTGAAGGTGATGTGATGAGGTGAACGATTTCCTTTCCACGAACCGCGCCGACTTTATGGAATGGAAATCAGAGGGAACGATTCGGCCGGCCCCACCTGTCTGTCTCCCACGCGCCTGGACAACGGGGAAAGCTTCCGGCGGGGGAAAGGCAGAGGCGGGCGCGCGCGCGCCGACGGCCATGTGCTTGCTGTTGCTGCCTCCCGCTTCAGAGAAAAAGCGAGCGTGCGGTGAAGTGAAACGACATCGGGGAGGAGGAGGAGGAGGAGGAGGAGGGGTTGGTCACTTGGGGTGTGTTCGGACCTCTAGGTTCCCAACCCAAATCTCTCGTTTTTCGCGTGCACGCTTTTCAAACTGCTAAATGGTGTATTTTTTACAAAAAGTTTCTATACAAAAGTTGTTTAAAAAATCAAATTAATTTATTTTTGAAAAAAATTAACTAATACTTAATTAATCACGTGCTAATGGATTGCTCCGTTTTCCGTGCGGAGTCACTATGTTCCCATCATCCACATGCGAACACAGCCTTGGTTGGTTGCGATGCTTTGATCAGAGTTCACGAGGACGAAGCTTTGGTCGGTGGCAGCGCCCCCCCCCCCTCTCTCTCTCTCTCTCTCTCCTCCCTTTTACTGCTACCGCACGCCCGCCTCGCTCGCTACCTCACTTCCGCCGCGGAGAACGACCAACCAACGAACCAAAAGTTTGATCACATTTGCGTCATCTCCTCCGGTTTGGGGGGAGTACCTTTTTCTCCGAGTGGTTGGGTTGACCTTTTTTTTTTCTCTTGCGGACAACTTGTTTAAACGTTTCGGTTGCTTTGCGAAACGTTACTGTTGTGAGTAAGTGAGTTCGTGACAAACTATATTACATTTTGTAGCAACGTCGGGTTGTCAAATACTGCCGTAGGTTCTGGAGTTTTGTTTTAATTCCGTTGACAGCTTGTTTGGCAACTTGAGGGAAGGGGATTGAGAGTTTACACGAGGGAATTGATGGTGAGATTAAGATGGGAATTTGATTTTTATTCCCAATATCTTGTTTGGCAGAGGTGGTGAAAATTGACAGGGAGTTTAGTTGGAGATTAGTTTATTAATGGAAACGGTTGGCTGAGATTTGTTTAGACAGAGTAAAGGAGAAATTCCCTCCCAATTACTACTCCTACCCAGGTATTGAAAATGAGGGAGTTTCTTCCTCAATTCCTCATCCTCATCCCACCAAAATTCTCATGTCTCCCAATCAAACAAAACAGTTAATAGTCTCATCCCTCTAAACTCCCAATCCCTTCTAAAAACTCCCTCCAACCAAACGGACATTTGGTGAACTGAACTGTCTCGCGCGAATATACTTGCAGTGTTCAGCACTATGCTCCATTGCTCCTACGGCTACGTTCGTGGATGTGGACAAGTGGATGGGTGCCTTTTTGTCAAAGTCATGGATGGCGTCAACCATGACTCGGTAGTGTGCAACTCTGCCGCAACAGCAGGGATGGACCGATATTGATGGTGAGGCCCATTGACCAGGGATTGGACAGGCTGGGCATTAAATGGCTCTGAAGTCTAGGCCCGACAATAATTAATTGGACCGTTCGGAGTTTGTTTTCTGGCCCAAAACTCATGGCCCGTGTGAGGGATTAATCGGCAACTAGGACTAGGATGCGCGATCGCCTCTTGAAGGCGTAAACTTGAGCTTTCCACATCCGTCGAAGGCGGAAAGGGGCTTTCCCTTACCAACCTTGCCTGGTTTGCTCTGCCCTGCTCTCCCAGCAACGCCAACCCCGATGCTAGCCGCCGCCGCCGCCCTCCGCCCGCCCTTCCGCCGCGCCCGCCTGAGCACCTCCCATGGAGGAGGCGGAGGAGTGACGCACCCTCTGCGCCCGCGCCTGCAGCGGCGTGCTTTGGCCTGCCGGGCTGACCTGCAGCAGGACGCGCCGTTCGCCGCCGCCATCGGCGCCTGCTTGCTAGCCTCCCTCGTGCTCCCGACGTCGAGAGGCCGACGAGATGACGACGAGGAGGAAGGGGAGTTTGGCGCGACGGACACGAGGATGGGCGTCATGGGGATCATCTCCTTGCTGCCTTACTTCAACTGGCTGGTGAGAGCTTAAGGATAGTCTTGCTGCCCCTCTTTGTTCCTTCTGCTTAGATTTGACCCCTTCTTTTTTTTTGTCTTTTACTTCACGATTAGAGCTGGATCTTCGCGTGGCTGGACAGCGGGAAGCGGCGTTATCTGTTCTACGCCGCTGCATACTTGGCTCCTTATCTGAGGTTTGAAATTCCAAACTATGAACTGCTAATATGGTTACCCTTTGTCATGCTGGATGTGGCTATGCACTGGGATTAATTGAGTTTGTTTGCTGTGTTGGCTTAATTTGATCATGACCAACACTTTTGCAATGACCAATTAGACCTCCACTTTGTAATGTATGGCGTCTTGGGTAGCTGTTAGTAGTGTTACTTATCACTGGATCTTCTCTGGTTGAGAAAATGCTTGTAATAACGATCCGATTGTAGAATCTATAAAAAAATAGTCTTGAGGATCAATAATCTCTTGGGCCTCCTTCGAGTAAGATCAAATTGCTTGAGTGTTTCATGTGAAATTATGGGGAACCACTGAACCATGTATGTTGGTTGATCTTGTTTTATATGGACTGTTCTACACTTTATGGAGTTTTCCTGTCTTATTAGATACTGGACTCATGCTGTCTGCTAAGGTAACCAACAAAAACTAGCATCAATTTTCAGAACAAATTTATCACTGTCGCCCGAAGAGAGCTGGTTACCTATAGCTAGCATCTTTGCCTGCATTCTCCATGTTCAGGTCAGTGAGCAAGCAATTCCAGTATTCTGGCAAGCTATAGCTTCTTTGCTGATATTTTTTCCCTTGCAGCTAGAGGCAAGCATCAGGACTGGTGATATCGAGACCTTCAGGTTTGTTCAGAGAGCTTGGAGGCTTATTTTCCCTAGTGCTCTGAAGGAGGATGTTCAACATAGAAACAAGGGAAAATCAATCAGAATGGTACAATATAAATGAACTTTATAATCTGATGTTATGAATCTCTATTCAACTAAATTTTGGCAATCTTCTCCTACAATGGTTCAGGGCAGCGGTAACAGGAGAATTCCATCAGCACATGAATCTAGAGAAAAGCTTCGTAATTCAGATATCTTCAAAAGGAGACTTGATGAGCCCAACGACGAGAAACAAAACAAATCAGATTGGAACTGAACTCAAACAGTGTCGTCCTTTCTCTTGTCAAGCTGTTTAAGGAAGATCCACATCCTTGTGGAAAACTCCTGTGGCTGCTTGCAAAACCGATGTGCAGTATGTCAAATTAGGCTTAGGTGTAGTTAGTTTCCAAGTTAGTCCACGACCACGAGTTGTTGGATCAAGCAGGCAACCAGGCTGATCAGAGTGAGGCACCTGCTGTTTTCAGGTTTCTGCAAATTATGTTTTGTTTGTTGTGTGTAGCATTCAGCAAGAATAATTAACGTTGCATGCTTGCTCTATCTGAAATTCTGAATGAAAGTAGCTTTATGCCTGGTTTGTCTCTCTCTCATCCGTGGTTAGAACTCAGAACAAACCGCTGCCTGCTTCCCTAGCTTGCTTGGCTGTTGCTGATTACTGTGAGCACCTTTGATCATACGTTGTCATGGACTCCTGAAGCCTCATCTTTCCGCTTATGCTTATGCCTATCAACCAAAATTTAAATTTTTAACCTTAAATTTGGAGTTGATTTCGGGGTTTTTTCATCGAAGTTTATTTTTAATCCTTGTTTTAGATAGTTAAAAACACACATATATATAAATTTATTCACAAATTATTTTTCATTTACAAATATGCCGATGGTAGATGTTAGCTAGCTTTGTTCATCGGGGAGGGCAGGTCTTTGGTACGTTTCCGCGTGTTCCGTTTCACAGCAAATCACTGTGAAAACTAAATTGTACACAGAATGATGCGAATACCACGTTTTAGATGAAGATTTTTTTTCCCGGTTTGGAAGGTTCGGAAAGGAGGATTAGTGAGGACTCAGTGAGGTGTTGGCATGTTGCCGTGTTGGAGCATTTGTTCCTGGATGCCAATCGTGAATATTGATGTCGAAATGCACCTGCGGCCACTAGTATGTTCTTCCGTTCCGTCCATTTTGCTGCTATTGCGCATCAGTTTCATATCACACTAGCCACTGGGTCTCATCGTATTCGTTGATTGACATAACCACGCGACATCTAGCCAATTGTTTGATGCTTCAAAACAAAAAACAGTTTAAAATGCATACATCAAACTCATTGTTCAAGCCAAATTCTGTGCTTACCATCCGATTAATCAACCAAGAGTAAAATGCACCAGCGGTTTTTAAACTTGTCATAAGGTTTCACTTAGGTCCACGAACTTACAAAACGCACATCGAGATCTCTAAACTTGGTTTATTGTATCATCCTAATCCAAAGTCTCGTTTGACCGTGGTCTTTCCTACGTGGCACACCATGTGGACGATGACATGGCCCTTTTTTTTCCTTTTTCCCCGTTTTCTTTTTCCTCATCTTCTTTTATCTTATTCCTCCGCTTAGCACGACGGTGGCTAGGGTGTCGGCGACGCGCGGCCAGAAGACGGTGGCGAGAGGGAGCGGCATGGAGGATGCGATAGAGGGTACGATGAGCTTGGGGAGTTGGGAAAATGGTGGAGGGGAGCAGGGGTGGACATTATATCCTTGGGAGGCTGGAATTGTGCCCAGGGTGAGCAGATTTGAAGCGGGAGGGGAAGGCGGCGACAATATCTCGGGCGGCTTGGGTCAGCCGCCGGTTTGTGTGGGGAAGTGGGGGAGGTGGGCGATGACCGTGTCCCCTGCACGTGCGGACGAGTCGGGAAGGCGCGAGGACAGTGACGTCGTGGGGAGCGACGTGCACAGGAGGGGTGTCCATGGCGGTTGCCGGTCGGAGGAGGAAGAAGGCCCTGACAGGTCGGCGGCGGAAGGGAGAAAAAATAAAAAAAAAATTACATGTCATCATCCATGTAGTATGCCACGTAGGCAAGACCACAGTCAAATAAGGTTTTGGACTGGGATGAGATATTAAATCAAGTTTACGAATTTCGATACGTGTTTTGTAAGTTTATGGATCTTAGTAAGTACTCGCCGTCAGTAGGGGTGGATAAAAAGCTCGGGCTCGTGAGCTTAGCTCGGGCTTGGCTTGAGCTCGTAAAGCTTGGCTCGGCTTGAAAACTAAACGAGCCGAGCTCGAGCTGCCTCCATGGCTCGCTTCTAAATCGAGCCGAGCCCAAGCTGCTCGCAAGCCGCTCGTGAAGCTTGTCGAGCTTGTGAAAAAAATGGCCTGGCCCATTAACAGCTGATTTGGCCCATGAAAAACTCTAACCTCACCGTTCCTCTCCCACTCCCTCGTCATTTCCTTCCCTAGACCCCTTCTCACGCCGCCAGCCCGTCACACCGAGTCCAACGCCTTTCAACGCGCGCGCGACAGGCGACACCGCTCGAGGCCTAGGGCGCGACCGCGCGAGGCTCCCTGCGCCGCCTCCCTCCCCTATGCTTTCCTCCCCAGCTCCGCTCGACGCTCCCTGCGCCGACCTTCCCTGACTCGATGTTGTTCATCACCTCGCCGAGACACCAACCCACCGACGGCAGTTTTCGCTGCGACGAGCCCAGGATGAAGAGGTTTTGGGATGTGTTTTCTTATTTTTCTTATGCATGTAGCAATAGCATGTTGTGGTCTTAGCACTTGTGGTCTATTGGTCTTGTGATTGTAGAGCAATAGTACGTGTAGTATGTGCGTGATGAATTGATAATAGAAAGATTAAGGCAAATAAATCAAAATTGTCGTACCAGTAGTGTATGTATGATGTATCTGTGACTTTGTGTTACTGTTAGTGCTATACTTCACTCTTTTTTAGTTGTTCTTGCTACTGCATTGCAATTTGCATTATTTGAGGCCTACATGACCTGTAGGAGTTTGATCCTGATGCATACTTGACGTTTACTTGTTGAAAATTGATTGCTTTGTTGTTGTAGTGTTTACTTACTGCTAGCATCACAAGCCGGCTCGAGCTGGCTCGAGCTTTGAAACGAGCCGAGCCAAGCTGCTGTTTTAGTTCGTTTAGTTAATCAAACCGAGCCAATCCAAGCCTGTTCTTTGCCAAGCTTTCCTCGGCTCGTTTCCACCCCTAGCCGTCAGTGTATTTCACTCATCAATTAAATTAGGCGGTTGATACTGAGTACGAATAGCCACGAGTCAGTCCGCGTACTTTACTATACTTTAGCCATTCCACATCAGTCCGTGCCGCTCTCTGCCCATTCTCTTCTCCACGGCAAACCACCACCGGCGTCACCAGCCCACCACCGGTCTCCACCGCCACCCTTTTCTCCGAATCCCGACATGGAGAGGCCTCCGCGCAGGCCCTCCGCCGCGCGCCCGCGCCCGCGCTCCCTCCAGCGAGCCGCCGCGGCGCTCTTCCTCGCCATCTTCGTCGCGCTGCCCTTCGCCGTGCTGTACCGTGGCCCCGTGTCGCGGTCGCTGCACGACTCGTGGGAGTGGGACCCGCTGCCTTCGCTCGACGCATCCGAGGAGGACGGCGCCGCCCGGGATGATGATCTGGTAATCCTGCCCCCTCCCTTCCTACTGATGGCGTTCGTTTGGTTCCCAATTTTTAGTGTAACTGCTCTGGAACTGGAATGATATCCACTGTTAAACCATGAACGAACAACGATAAATTTTGGTAGTACTTCTGCTCAAAAAGGAGAAAAAAAAACATTGGTCCTCTCCTCTTAGTTTTGTGAATGTCAGGTAGGGTTTAATAAGTTCGCAGTGCGGTGTTGTTCGTGGATTCATTTATGATCAGTTCATGTGGTTGGATTTTGCGATCTCGTGTAGTGTAGTCTAATTTAGAGCTGTTACTGCCAATGCGTAATGACATATTGTGTTCACAATACTTAGTAGTGGCTGCACTAGAGATGTGTTATCTTGAAGGGTTTATCTTAGGATGAAGCAATTCTATCCAGTTGGGTTTAGATGTTATAGTAAACACACACGAGTAAATGCAGATGGTGTTGTTGTGTTAAAAGACAGAAGAACAGTGAACACATATGTGATAGCCAGAACCTTCCAATCTGTTTTTCAGTTTGAACATGGGAATCACTTCCACCTAGTGAAATACTCCCTCTGTTTGGGACGGTGGGAGTAGATGTTACTGACGCGGTAGTGTCTGCTCTAGGTGTCATTGACATGTGGATAACTTCATTGAATTTTGTAAGAGAAGTAGATTACTGTTTTTCTCCACCATAGTAATGTCAGAAAGTTTGGTACCTTACATATTTGCTTTGTTTCAGCTGATTATTAACGGATGTTTTCACATTGAACAATTGACTAGGTTGGCAATTGAAAGGCCAACATGGCTTTTGATTGCAGGACTTTAGGAAAATTTAAGAAAGTAATAATGACCCTAAGTTTTTTTATTGTTTATCTTAGCTGTCAATGTTACATTTCAGATTTCATTTTAGCTGTATGTTTCATGTATTCATTGTCCCCTAGGCCCTAATAGTCCAAATTCAGAATAACCATCTTAATTTTTGAACTACTTTTTATGTGATCATTTGCGCGGCCACTTTCCAGTTAACTTTCTCCTTTTATTTAATTGTATCCTTCTAGGACAGTCAAGATCTGAAACTCGAGCAAGTCCTGCAGAAAGCCTCAATGGGAGATAACACGGTTATATTGACCACTCTTAATTCTGCATGGGCTTCTCCTGGCTCAGTGATAGACCTATTCATTGACAGTTTTCGATCTGGTGTTAGAACAAGTTCACTTATAAACCATCTTGTCATTATAGCATTTGATTGGAATGCTTACAAGCAATGTCTCAAGATCCATCCTTATTGCTTTGCTCTCGGAACTGATGGTGTGGATTTCTCTGAGGAGAAGAGGTTCTTGACTTCTGGGTATCTGGAGATGATGTGGAAAAGGATAGATTTCTTGCGGCTGGTCCTGGAAAGTGGTTTTAGCTTCATATTCTCGGTAAATTCTGTTGCATGCAGTTCAGTCACCATTGATAAATAGTTATTCCCATTTTGCAAATTCCAACAGCAAGTGATTCGGCTTTGTTACTAACCATGATGAGATTACTATTTTCTTTTGTTCATAATATGATCGCTAGTTGTTTCAAAACAATGATGAAATGGAGGTGTCTTTTGGTTGTCACTTTCATATACTTATTTTCCATTTATTTTGATAAATTTCAGGATGCAGATATCATGTGGTTTCGCAGTCCGTTTCCTTATTTTTATCCTGATGGCGATTTTCAGATTGCTTGTGACCACTATTTTGGGAATGCAACTGATCTGAGAAACATTGCTAATGGAGGCTTCAACTACGTGAAATCAAATGAACGAAGCATAGAGTTTTACAGTTTCTGGTATTCCTCACGATTGAGATATCCTGGCCTTCATGATCAGGATGTATTTAATGTCATCAAGCACGACCCTTATGTTTCAGATATTGGACTGAAAATTAAGTTTTTGAGTACTTCATACTTTGGTGGATTTTGTGAACCAAGCAGAGATCTAAACAAAGTTTGCACCATGCACGCTAACTGTTGCATTGGACTGCAAAGCAAGGTACATGATCTAAGAGTTATGATGGAAGATTGGAGGAGTTATTTGTCCTTACCTCCAAGCTTGAAAAGATTGAGTGCATTGGCATGGAGGGTGCCGCAAAATTGCAGGTATTAGAACCAACCTTGAAATCCAATTTAGATTGTTTCAAATGGAAAATACAATTAAATGAAGTTCAACTAAAATCTTTCTTTCACATTGTTTTCATGTTGCATCTGAGCATTTTTTTTGGCAGCCTTTCTTGGTCACACCAATAAAACGTCCTTATGGACAGCAAAAAGAAATGAAAATGGTGAAGCCCGCCGAAAGCGCTCTGCCTTCCCCCCGAAAGAACCTTCAGCTAAACATCTAAACAGTGTGACGAGATTCTGATTGAAAGGTCGCGGTAAGTTTTGCCAAACACTTCGGAGATCCTTGACAATATAGAGCGGAGTTGCCGGACCGCTCTGGAAAAATACACTACAAGGATGGAGCGGCCTTAGCACTGCTCCTCAGCTCCGCTGGCTGTACCGAACGGGCCTTCAGACTTCAGTGACAACCAGCTTCATTTGGCTACGAGAAAAGGAGTGCCTGCTTCTTCAAGGAAAACTGAAGCAATTACACCGTCTTGAAAAGCAAGACTGCTGCAATGGATCTGTCAAGAGTAAAATGGAAAAAAAAGAATGTATATCCTGGTTGATTTCATAGGTAAGTTTGAAAACTGGATGCTCTTTTTTTTCCTGTGTTAGAACAATTTTGTTAGATGGATAGATGTATGAAATATGAAAAAAATGAATGGCCTAGTCTCGCGATTTTCAAATATGAATTCAAGTTCAGCTGTGTTAGATGGCTAGATGCACGCCAAGCCGCCGAGTACCGTGCACCTTTGCAAAGCATATTGAAAGCTGCATAACTGGGTGAGCCATCCTTGGGCCAGATCAAGTAATTGGGCGGACTCTAGACCGAAATTGTTGTTGGCGAGGGGTAATATTTTGGGCCTGTGGCATAGCCCATGGGGCCGAATTACAGACCCATTTTCCTTCATTCTAGGCCTTTGCCTTATGGCCCTAACTGACATATGGGACCCAGTTGCCAGTGTCATCCGTCAATAAACCCCAGAACCCGCGTCCGCGAACAATTCCTCTCCCCAGCCTCGCCGCCCGGCCGCACCTCGTCCCCTCGCCTCGCCGCCGCCTCCTCCCCCACGCGCGCGGTCGTCCAGCCATGGGGAGATCGTCGTCGGCGACGGCGGCGGGAAGTAAGAAGCGGAGGTCCAAAACCGGAGCTCTAACCCTAGGGGAGGTGAAGACGCTTGGCGAGGAGCTCCTCTCGTCGCGCGCCAACCTCAACCACGCCCCCACCCTCCTCGCGCTCCTCTCCCCCTCCGCGCCGCTGGACCTCGCGCTGGAGGCGCTCATCTCGCTCCAGTCGTTCTTCGTGCCCCTCCTCCCTTCCATCCCCTCCGCCGCCGCCACGGCCGCCGCGGCCGCGGGGGATGCAGACCCCGAGCTTGTGTTTAGGTCCTGGTTGCGGAAGCGTTTCGACGAGCTCGTTGCGGCGCTCGTCGAGCTCACCGTGTCTCCGCACAGTGATGATGCAATCAGGGTGAGTGCTGCTGCAGCACCTATTCATTTGTGTGCTCGGTTGATGGTTTGATGGTGAATGGTTCGATTAGCATGCTCCTTTGTTCACTGTAGGATCTGGCACTTGATGCGCTCATGGATTTCGTGAAGCTGGGCAAGGATGGGAGATTCCAGTCGGCAATTTACCACAAGTTTATCCACAATTTGGTGAGTTTTTATCCTCTCATGCTGTTGCATCGGTGTGAAATTGGGGAAATACTATAATACTAGCAGTATTTAGGGGTGGTTTGGCTGAGAAGTGAACTCGTGGACTAGTTTTTACTGTTCGCTTGCTGCTAAGTTTGCCTGTTTTTGTGCAGATTCATGCTACCGACTCAATTGATCCTTTGCTAGAGTTGCTTGGACCAAAGTACTTCATATACACTGATGTTTGGTATGTCGTGGTCACCTTTTGAGTAATTTTTGCTGTACTTTAGTATCTGGTCCTGATAATCTTACCTTGAGTGCTTTGCTAACTTGTTCTGCAGTATTTCTACCATGCATTTTTTTAATGTTTTCTTGTAATATACTTAATTGTTTTCTCCATTTGCTTCTGTAGTTACTTCACTTACACTAGCTTAGACAAGATCGCCAGCAGTATAGGCAATAAAGCCACCGGTAATACCCTCTCTCGTTAAAAAATATAACTTATTACAAACTAGTTACCTCATTCTATTCTTATCAGGTTCTGAAAAGAGTGTCTTGCATAGTGGCGATGATGGGCCAGAAGACAGGTATGCTTAAGCTCTTTTACATGATACATATATTAAGATTGGATGATTGTGATCATAAATTCATAGTATTACCTATGGTAAGATCCAACCAATATACCATTGTGCATTGCATTAAATGAGCGTTTCAAATGCCTGCACGCAAATGTTTTGCAGTATTGCTTCGAAAGAAAAAGGTAAGCTGGGAAAGCTTTGTTGTTGTTTTACATGTTCATGTGATCCATCTCTGCCTGTTAAGGAACAATTGGTACTCTGATGTGTTGCTTGTACTTCATGCTTGCATTTCTGTGTTGGTGTGTTCTTGGAAAGTACAATGGCATGTGCTTTTCAAAGTTTTACCCCTGCAATATCATTTGAAGACTTGCAGGTAGTGATCTATGTTGTGAATTATTTTGATCGTGTAATTGTTTGATTTAGATATCCCATAAAACACTTGTAGTGTGATTTGCCAATGTTTATACATTTCTAGTTTTTAACAACTTTCTTAGTCCCATTTATATTCTTCTGATCTTCTCTCTTGCTATAACAGAGGCACTATTTATGTACGCAATATATACAATACTTTGGCGCATATTCCTGCCTTGGATTTTCAGGAGTCAAAGTTTAATATGTGGAGTACTGTTGGTGAGTCTTTTAACTCTTTTGAAGGCTCTATTTTCCAGTATGTAAAAATACTTACAGTTGTCCTTTTATACATTGCATTCCCTTTTTCATGTATGTCCTTATCTATTGAAGAACCTTGAGACCCATTTTCTGTTAGGGGTAGGCAGATATAAACCATTAACTGAAGGCTGAACGAACTTAAGTAGCAGTTTGTCTGGTGGCAGGTTTGGTTTTTATAATTGGCTGCTTCGGTGTTTGGTTGGAAGATCAGTACTTATCTCCCGTAAATCTCCTATAAACCGAGCCTCCTGATAAAACCGAGGACAGTGTTCTCAACAGATAGAGCGCGTGGGAGACCGTGCCCTTTCGTCGCATGATTTTTGCTGACGGTGGCTCCACGCACACGCCCTCGCATGATTCAAGCAGCGGACCCTTGTGGGATCTGGCAGACTACTGCCCAATGGCCATCACACATAGGTGGGGCGGAAGCAGATTGTTCGGTCGGTTTCTTTAGTAAAAAAAACAAAACCAAATCGAAGTAGTTTGGTTTTTCCCTGATGAGATCGGTTGGTGTTTCTTAAAAGCCAAAAATCCACCAAGCGGTAAAAATCGAACCGAAGAACCTGGACGCCCACCCCTACTTTCTGTAATTGTTGAATTCTCTCTCACAAAGACACCCACATGTCTCATAGTCATTGTTCCTTTTGAATGTTCTACTTGCCTACTTCACTTATCCATCTCCGCTCCTTTTCATTTGTTGGTCTTTGCTATGCAACATTGTTGGAATAGTGATGTTATTCTGACTTCTCTTTTTTGTTTGTGAAGGCCTTTCTTCCAAAGGAGAAAAGAACTCATCTGAGGTACTTCATATACACTTCATGAAGTAAACTGCAACTTTGCCTAGTGACTAAGCTTTAACGTTCTGCAGGACTGCTCTGCTACTTACATTAACAAAAAACTCAAATCAAAGTTCAGCAAAGCCTGGATATCCTTTCTCAAGCTGCCACTTCCGCTTGATGTGTACAAGGAGGTTAATCTCTAATTTATCTTAAAGCAATTAGAAATGATGTGATGCTGCTATCTCTCTCTTTTTTTTTCTTGGCTTGAAACCAGACCTTCGCCCTTTCAACATTCTACAATAAGTAGCAATTGGTCTCAATTGCTTCATCTTTAACTTTTTATGAATGGTATAAGTGTTGCATGAGCACTCTTGCAACAGCAATTTTTCCGAGGATGTAATTTACTTATTTACATGTAGCCTTATGGACTTAGTTTACTTGGAGTACTGTAATAATTCAATGGCCAATTAGGGTGATGTAACTATTTGTTCAACAAATTTTGTTGTTTGCTGTTGCCACACTAAGAATTTTGGTCTTGTTTTGTGATACTGCCTTCTTTTAGTGCACATTAACTGCGAGTACTGAGCAGTGATGATCTATAAATTGCAGGTCCTTGCAACAATTCATAAGAATGTAATTCCTTCAATGTCGAACCCGGCCATCTTGTGGTAGGTTATTCCATTTGATCTGCATATTTGTTTGACACCATTAATAGAATTCTCATAACCTCTGTATTTTGGTGTTGAAGTGATTTCTTGACTAGATCATATGACATTGGTGGTGTTATCAGTGTGATGGCCCTAAGTGGTCTTTTCATTCTTATGACACAACATGGCCTGGAATATCCAAAATTCTATGACAAACTCTATGCATTACTGACTCCTGCTGTTTTCATGGCGAAACATCGGGCAGTTTTCTTGCAAGTAAGTATCTCAGTAAATATGATGTGGCATTATCATCTGTTAATCAAGTCATGTCAAGTGTAAACTGATTGCAGCTTGGACTGTTACTCCACCAACACTTTCTATCGTCTTAATAAAATGACTGCCACACCCAGCATCACGTTTTTGAAGGCGTTCTGTAGGATTTCTATAAATCTAATTTTTGTAGATATCCATTTTCCAGCAATCTGTAATATACTTGGTTAGGTCTTAGGCAGTAATCACTCGTCAGGCGGTACAGTAGCAGAATACCCAATCTTGATGTGATAGCTAAAAAGAGAATTAATCATGCAAAAGGTTTATACCAGTTATGGCATATTAGACTTGTTGACTAACCTGATGCCTGCAGCCTCCCACATCCAAATACACCTGTGGTCTTTTTAATATCCATCGGATTGGATAATGGGAACCAAGGAGGGGTATGTTTGCCACCTGCTTTGGCATTGTTTGTCACTCGCTTTATTCTCTTAAGCCACAACTTGCAGCCATTGAGTGACATTCTATAAATTGTGGTTGTGGAAAAAGAGATGGCACTTGACACCCTTAATTCATGTAGACTCATGGGTGCAACTAAGCGAATCAAGGCACTAAATTGTCACCCATATGTTTGAGCTATGAACCACCAATCTTCAATCCATGAATCAACTCGATAATACAAGTTAATATGAGATTTTTTTTGTGCATATTTCTTTTTTTAAGGATTATTTTATTATTCTTACCATCTATTATGGATTTCCTTTTTACATTTTTTGACTTTTTTTTTAAAATTGCAGCTTCTGGATGCATGTCTGAAATCTTCATATCTTCCTGCATATCTTGCTGCCGCGTTTGCAAAAAGATTGAGTAGACTAACCCTTTCAGTTCCACCTGCTGGCGCTCTTATTATTATTGCTTTAATTCACAATCTACTGCGGAGACACCCGTCAATAAATTTTTTGGTCCATTGGGTATGTTACTTGTTGTACCCTTTGGTGCATATATATAATATATAGTAGCTGCTGATTGATATCCTTCCCTGGGCAGCCACTTTGTGCCAACAAAGTGAATGGCATCATGTTCATGTAGTCCACATTCTATGTTCTTTTTTGTGTTGTTCCGTAAGCTGTTTGTATTGCTCTTCTGAATAATTTTCAGGAAATTGATGCAAATGATTCTGAAATCTTTAACGAAGCTAGTCAACGTAAGAAGGTTGGCGCTGATCCTTTCAACAATGAAGAGACTGACCCTGCAAAGTCTGGTGCAATGCGTAAGTGATACCTGTATCAAACATATTTTTCTTCATTTCATTTCTTTGCAATCCTGAATTCCTAAGTTGTCAGTGGTTTTCTGCATACCATGTACTAATACTTGAAAATGCACAACAGGAAGTTCTCTATGGGAAATAGACACACTGCGCCATCATTACTCTCCTGCTGTTTCAAGGTACCGGGAAGCTTGATGCCCTGTTTCTATGACATCTACATTTCTTGTTTGATTGTTTAGCTCATTTATTGTGATACTGTTAACTATTGTCAGATTCGTTGCTTCACTTGAAAATGATCTCACTGTTCGGGCCAAAACTACTGAGATGAAAATAACGGACTTTAGTTCAGGCTCCTACGCAACAGTTTTCAGAGATGAGGTTTGTCTGTCCGATACCTTACACTATACTCACCCTCGTATGTATGCCTGTATGCATGCACATGTATTTTACACCAATGCGCAAAATATTAGGGATATGTTACATCCAGCGTACCTTTCACTAGATTTCACCATGTGTTCTATGCATATACATATGAACCATGTTTACATGGTTTTTTCTATTGAAATGAATCCGACAAACCTGCTTGTTTTTGGAGTTATTGTTAAACCAAAGTTTAGTCTTGTCACTTGTCTTATCCGCTGCCATTTGAGTGTCTATTATTAAATAATCACTGGGAATTTACTAAAAATCTACCAACCCTGGTTTTGAATTGTAGGTACGACGGCGGATAAAACAAGTTCCCCTTGCTTTCTACAGAACTACACCAACTTGTTTATTTCAAGAGTCAGATTTTCCTGGATGGACTTTTAGGGATCAATTCAAAAACATGGCAGAAACTAGTGTAGAAGGCAATGGGATCAGTACGGTAGATATTAGCAACAGCTCGCCCGCCAAAAGGTTGCGGATGGAGACCTGAGTAGGGACCCAGACAGGGTGTACCATCTTGATCCAAGTTTTGGACCGTTTAAGAGGGGGACCAATGGACCTGTTGTATGGCCTACCATTTTAGTTTCATTTTGTTTTTTTAACATATTGGAAACAATTATGAAATTAAGTTGTTTTTAACAGTCCACCAGTGTTGCAAGTTTTGAACTGAAAGGAGTGAAGTATGAATTACGCGGGTAATCTTTTGCTCTGATTACTACTACCAGTGAAAGATGTAGCCTTGAAAGTTATCAACTCTAGAGTAAATGCCATTTAGCTCAATCATGCGTGCAGATTGTGGATAAAATCAATATTTAATCCATCTCCGTGGATCCTTTGTTGGAATGATCCTCTGTGGGCCTATCTTCTTGCCAATAATTCTCTTAATGGAACAGGCTGGATACTACTGTGGTAGTACTCATTTTGTTTTGACTTTTGAGGAAAACGGTCTGCAATATACTGGTTTTGTGCATTATACTCGTGTCGTTTGGACTTTTTGTGCATTATACTCGTGTTGTTTTGACTTTTGAGAAAAACAATCTGCAATATGGTTTAGACTTTAGAATGCTTGAGACTACCCGGACATCTACATTGAGATGATCGGCGTCTTCGGAAGCAATTCAGATGGTCCGTTCTTGTTCCTTTCTATCAGAACTTCTGAAAGACGCTTTCTATCAGAACTTAAGAAAGACGCTTCTGAAATATCTATGCTGACTAGTCTTTATTGTGTGTTAGTTAACGGAATGCGTACACCAGGAAAGAACACATTCAAAGGAGCACGTCGTTCTCAGAACTCGGAAGAGTTGCTGCAAGCCATGTGCAAAGGATCCAAGACCTAAATGACCGTGATAGGATCCGGAAATTTAACGAGGATGCTACAAATTTCTTCGCTGTCAGATGTGATTGCCGGGCCCAACGTCGTGTCTTCAGTGAACAAATCAGCTTGTGTTGTTTATCACCAAGTCATTGTACTGATGTTGTTGTTCTTGACCTTTTTCAGGTACGTATGTGGGTTTGGATCGTCAAACTATCTTGGCCATCCGAATGCTTAAGCTCGATATCTGCAGATATCTTTGCACAGAAACTCATCTCCTCATCGTTTATACTTAAGCTCATTTGTTTGTTTGTTTGTTTTTGTGTGTGTCGAAGAGAGTTTGTTCTTCACGCGCTGACGCGCACGGGGGTGGGGTCCTTCCGTCCCTGTGAATGATTCGACCTGACGAGATTTGACTGGTACGCAGATAACGAATGCTCTACCACAAATTCATACAAACCAGTATTACTCCGTTTTACATATATCACATGTGTAAAAGCGATGTAGAATGTAGATGCATTTACCATCGGTACGCTTTCGTCTTCCAAGTTCCAACCACATGTTTGATGTGAGGGCCTGAATATTTTCTGAAAAAAAAAGGGGTTAATGATCGTACTTGGCCTGAGAAAGTGACACCTAGGGAGTAGGGACACTCAGTCGTAACATTTCAGGCGGTCATTAACCCATTTTAGTATCTGGGCTCCAAACAGTTGCCATGATATAGCTAGGCGAACTGCAAGCGAGGTCTTGAGAAACAGAACCCGCTGCAGTGGCACATTTGGTGAGGCTTCGGGAGGTCACCAGAATTGTTCCTGTTCACACGGGCTGCTAGTTCTTCACAGCTATCTCGTGTCATCCGAGCAGAAGCAACTACCTACCAATAAGAGGTTGCTTCAGACCCAAATGGTAAGAGGAACTGTACCTGAATCCACATAAAGAAAAGGGGAAAGGGGAGAGGTTCAGTTCCATGGGGATTTGTTTGTTTAAGCTGTATGTGCCACACTTTCTTATTCCTGAAAAGAAGATTGGTTTCCCTCTTCAACTTCATACTCCGATGTTCTTGCCCCTCTATAGCTCATTAAAAAGTTAGTAGTTGAGTTCATCTCAGCTGCTCTTCTTCTGGTTCTTTTATCTTTTGTTTTTTTGGTGGTTCCTTGCAAGTGCTTTTTCTCGAGGAATGTCCCTTTTGGTTCTGTTGCCTGTTGGACCTCAGTTCTTATTTATTTAATGATTTGTGCTCCTCTGTAACCTGGTGTTCTCGCTTTCTAATCTGTAACGCTATACCTGTGCTTAACAGGCATCGTCAGGAATTTTTCCTCGGTTATTCCAGCATGTGCGTTGTTACGTTGAAGGATGAATTCCAAAAGAGCACTACATTAATCCTCTAGGTCACTTTGTCACCATGAAGTTCATTTTCTATCTGTTCAGTATTTTCTGTTGTCTGTGTTCCTGCGCACAAAGCCAAAACATCTCTGGGAGGCCCGATGCAGTGAGAATTGGAGCTCAGTTCGCAAGGAATTCAACAATTGGGAGAGTTGCCGCAGTTGCCGTCCTTGCTGCTGTCAATGACATCAACAATGATTCGAATATCCTTCCGGGAACAAAGCTGGATCTTCATATGCATGATTCCAGTTGCAATCGCTTTCTTGGCATTGTGCAAGGTAATCCATTCGTGCTTTTTCTGCCACTGAGTCAAGCGGACTTATGTTACCACATGGTATAAAACATAACTAGTTTCTTCTTCTTCTTTGCATTTGTCAGCCTTGCAATTCATGGAGAAAGATACAGTGGCAATCATCGGCCCATTGTCTTCTACCACCGCCCATGTCCTTTCTCATCTTGCAAATGAACTCCACGTACCTCTGATGTCCTTTTCTGCAACTGATCCAACTCTTTCGTCACTTGAGTATCCGTTCTTTGTGCGGACTACCGTCAGTGATCAATTTCAAATGACTGCTGTTGCTGACTTAGTTGAGTATTATGGGTGGAAGCAAGTGACAACCATATTTGTGGATAATGATTATGGAAGAAATGCAATATCCTCTTTAGGCGATGAACTTTCCAAGAGGCGATCTAAGATCCTGTATAAAGCTCCATTTAGGCCAGGAGCAAGCAACAATGAAATAGCTGATGTGCTGATCAAGGTTGCAATGATGGAGTCTCGGGTCATCATCCTGCATGCGAATCCCGACTCTGGACTTGTGGTTTTCCAACAAGCACTCAAACTTGGCATGGTATCCAATGGGTATGCGTGGATTGCAACAGATTGGCTCACTTCATACCTTGATCCATCGGTACATCTCGACATTGGATTACTGAGCACAATGCAGGGTGTTCTTACATTGCGTCACCACACTGAAAATACCAGAAGGAAGAGTATGTTGTCTTCAAAATGGAGTGAATTGCTTAAGGAGGATAGTGGTCACAGCAGATTCTTGCTTAGTACTTATGGCCTGTATGCTTATGATACTGTCTGGATGCTTGCTCATGCGCTGGATGCATTTTTCAATAGTGGCGGAAACATTTCTTTCTCTCCTGACCCCAAACTAAATGAAATTTCAGGAAGAGGGTTGAATTTGGAAGCATTGAGTGTCTTTGACGGCGGACAGCTGCTACTAGAAAAAATCCACCAGGTAGACTTCTTGGGTGCAACTGGCCCAGTAAAATTTGATTCAGGTGGTAATCTTATCCAGCCTGCATATGACATTGTCAGCATAATAGGATCTGGTTTGCGGACAGTTGGTTACTGGTCCAACTATTCTGGGCTATCAGTTATATCTCCTGAGACTCTCTACAAGAAACCAGCAAATCGTACTAGAGAAACTCAAAAACTTCATGATGTGATCTGGCCAGGTGAGACTATAAATAAGCCTCGGGGATGGGTTTTTCCTAACAATGGAAATGAGATAAAGATTGGAGTTCCCGATAGGGTAAGTTACCGTCAATTTGTATCAGTTGATAGTGAAACTGGAATGGTGCGGGGACTCTGTATTGATGTGTTTGTCGCTGCAATAAACTTGTTAGCATATCCAGTTCCGTATAGGTTTGTACCTTTTGGGAACAACAGGGAGAATCCAAGCTATTCGGAGCTTATCAATAAAATTATAACAGATGTAAGTCCTAATTCTGAAACTTGCATCATGCTTATCAGCTTATGATTGATTGGTTTATGTGTATCTTTCATGGCTAGGACTTTGATGCTGTGGTAGGCGATGTAACTATCATCACAAATCGAACAAAGGTTGTTGATTTCACTCAGCCATATGTGTCGTCTGGGCTTGTGGTCCTTACCTCTGTTAAGAGGCAGAACTCGGGTGGATGGGCCTTTCTGCAGCCATTCACGATCAAGATGTGGACCGTCACTGGACTGTTCTTTCTTATCATAGGGACAGTAGTTTGGATGCTTGAACATAGAATCAATGATGAATTCCGTGGCCCTCCTGCGAAACAGCTTATTACTGTGTTCTGGTAAGGCTATAATTTCGTCAGTTTGTATTTATCGCGTGTACAATTCCTGCAAATATCATTCCATGTTTTCTGTCACCATTATCCAGATTCTTGGACGATGAACTGGTTTTATTTGCCTGACACTTCATGTTCTACTTACTTTGCAGGTTCAGTTTCTCAACTCTGTTTTTCGCACACAGTGAGTGAAACGACAGCTTGTCACATTCTCGACATTTTCAATAACCATGATGGAATTTTCCAGCTCATAGGAGCTACTCTTTCTTCTATGTTTATACAGGAGAGGACACCAGGAGCACTCTCGGCCGCTTCGTGATCATCATATGGCTGTTCGTCGTTCTGATCATCCAGTCGAGCTACACTGCCAGCCTGACCTCCATACTCACCGTGCAGCAGCTCACGTCGCCGATCACCGGGATCGACAGCTTGATCACCAGCGACGTTCCCATCGGGTTTCAGGTCGGGTCCTTCGCGGAGAACTACCTCGCCCAGGAGCTCGGCGTTGCCCACTCGAGGCTTAAGGCGCTCGGCTCACCAGAGGAGTACAAGAAGGCACTTGACCTTGGCCCCAGCAAAGGAGGCGTTGCGGCCATCGTCGACGAGCGCCCGTACATTGAGCTCTTCTTGTATCAGAACCCTAAGTTCGCCGTCGTGGGCTCCGAGTTCACCAAGAGCGGCTGGGGCTTCGTGAGTTCTCCTCTTTTTTCTCTCACAGTTTGACAGTGGGAGATGGATTATCTAATTCAGGGGACATCTATCTTTTCTTACATTTTTCTTACATGTCAACTAAATAACCATTAAGTTTTTTTAAAAAAATTAACAACATGCATGGTTAAATTTGATCACTTCAAGTTCAAAAAAAACAAATTAAACTAAAAATAGTTAACATACTTGCAATTATAATTGTTATCGTTCGTAGTTATACTTGTTATTTTATTATTATTTTTTTAGATAAGTTTGTTATTTTATTATAACTTGTAGAGGTTGAATTTACACTTGCATTATTCTATAGTGATATGTTTTATAAATCTATATTATTAAAAAAATATTTTTTTATAACTATTTAGATGGTATGCAAGAAATGATTGATATCTTCGGGGAGATGAAAACACTTTCCTTTTGATAGTGAGTTCCATGCTTTTTTTTTTCTCATCTCATGCAAAACGTGTGTACGATTATTGTTAGGCGTTCCCGAGGGACTCGCCGCTGTCAGTGGACCTGTCGACGGCGATCCTGGAGCTGTCGGAGAACGGCGACCTGCAGAGGATCCACGACAAGTGGCTGGCGAGCGACATGTCGTCCATGTCGCAGGCCAGCGAGCTGGATCAGGATCCGGACCGGCTGGACGTGTACAGCTTCTCGGCGCTGTTCCTCATCTGCGGCCTCGCCTGCATCTTCGCCCTCGCCATACACGCCTGCAACCTCTTCTACCAGTACTCCCGCCACGCCGCGGAGGAGGACCCCGCTGCGCTGCAGCCGTCCGCCAGCGACGGCAGCCGCTCCCTCTCCCGGCGCAGCAAGCTCCAGTCCTTCCTGTCCTTCGCCGACCGCCGGGAAGCCGACATCCGGAGGGCGGCCAAGGAGAAGGCGTCTGGTCTGGGCGGCAGCGGAGGGTCCATGAGCGGCGTCAGCTTCACGTCAAGCGGCAGCGGCAGCACCACCGCTTCATGCTAAAGCCTTGATAATTAGTTAATTTTCAGGTTAATTACTTTACCTCTCCTTGTGCTGCAGAATTGTAGAGATACGTAAGCACATTGGAACTTTTGCTGCGCTCCGGCGCTTACTGAAACACTAGTATAGCAATATACTGAAACACATTGGAGTAACATTTTGATCGACTAAAACGGCACGACCTACTATGATCATGGTGCATGATTTCACGGACAGACTGTGGAACAATATCCTCTACCCTAAGCCACTAACTTTGGGTTACTAATAACATATTAATCCACTTTGTTACATATTTATATGTCAGTGATCTAAAGTTAATCCGCATTGCGTCCATAGACTGTACGGCATGAATCTGGCAAATGGATTGGGCTGGATTGATAGTTTGGGCCTCTAGAGTTGTACAAATTCTGACACTTGTACTCGTACTCCCTCCATCCCACAGTATAAGGGATTTTGAATTTTTATTTGCAACGTTTGGCCGTTCGTCTTATTCAATTTTTTTTTGCAAATATAAAAAATGAAAAGTTGTGCTTAAAGTACTGTGGATAATAAAGTAAGTCACAAATAAAATAAATAATAATTTCAATTTTTTTTGAATAAGACGAGTGATTAAACGTTACAAGAAAAACTCAAAATCCTTTATATTATGGGACGGGAGTAGAAGTTAAGGCCACCAGCTTGGACTCGGCTGTATCTCTGGCCTCTGCGGCGTTTTTCCCATGTAAACCATGATGGATTTGATGGTGAAGCCACGCGCCCATGATGAGGCGTTGAGGATGGGCATGATTCACTCACTCAACTGTTTCAGCCCCTCTTCATTGGGGAGCTCATTCTCTCTCGTCCCATTGGTTGCTTGCTCGTGACCGTGAGTTGTCCATACTCCATAGGCGAGAGAGCTATAAAGACGAGCTCGTGGCGCCACACTATTCCAGATAGCTGGATGATGTACAGACAACAGCAATCACATTCATGGCTCTGCATTGTGCAACACATAGTACACACTCTACTCCGTACGTGTATCCTACAGTTCTGCACAGTGGATTACTATCATTTGCAGAAGCCACTGCTATACTGGAAAGAAAGAGAGGGAAATTGCTTTTTTACTGCTAACTCCGTTTCACAACATAAGTCATTCTATCATTTCTCACATTTATATTGATATATATATATTAGCATAAATATAAATGTGGAAAATATTAGAATGACTTACACTATAAAACGGAGGGAGTACTAACTAACCTGACCTGTTGGGGGTGTTACTTCGCAGACACTGGAAAAACATCCTGAAAGTTCATTCCACAAAAGGCCAACCAGAGAAAGGCCAAGAGCACTATGCCGACGAACAATCAAACAAATGGCTGATGCTTTTGGATCTGAAACTGTCTGAACAACACCAAAATTTTTCATGTCAAGTCATTTCGGGAATTGTCGGGTGCCAGCTTCACGTACCTGTTGGTGTTGGGTTTAGGTGCATTTGCGTGCATATTTTCTCTTACTCCGACATGAGCGAAGCCGTCCACATGCGTGTTACATTAGTTTAGATAGCACAAATATTCCCAAGATAAAAAAAATAGAGGACTTATATTGGCACAATATCACAAGTTAACAAACAAAATAATGATAATTTTCACACAGACGAGAGGGGTGACCAACCAACGCACGCATCACGTTCCACGGACACGATTCGATTATGTTCTTTCCCCGGGGAAAAAAAACAGAAAACGATTTGTGTCCGGTTCAAAGAATTATTCGCCGTGTCTGAAAGTGTACAGGTAACCGGGATGTCAACTGCTTGATTGATCAAAAAATGATTTCGTTTTGGGGCAATTGTGTTTGTGCAAAGCGCTGCAGATTTGTCTTGGGCGATTGCAGCATCGGCAGTTGCATTATTATATCGATCACGTCGCTGCAAATTGCAGCCTCCTCCATGTGCCGGGATAGGGGGGAGAGCACAGAAACAAAGGTCCACGGTGTAGCAGCATATTGGTGTACTCTGTACTCTTCTTCCCTCTGGTTTGTCTGCACGTATAGCCTAGGTGAAAAGGTCATGGACTCTTACGTAGTTTTAATATAGACATGGAGATTGTCCCCAAAATAAAATTATACTACCGAACAGATTCCCAGGGCAGATCACTGCGCTCTCTTCGAGAGAAGAAACAATGCTTGTGATAAACTGGATGGATGGCATTGGAGATAAGGATATCTGAGCACCCAATTTTGCATACTTTAGAACAAGTGTCCACATGCAAATATCCATAGGTAATTCTGTATCATTTTGGACAAGACTTTCCGAAAATATTATTTGAATACTTATATTTGTCAAATGTTATATTTTGTGCTTAGTGAACTAGAGATTTTGAGAAACTAGATTATCCGACTGGTCATGGTTACTCAAGTCCGATCTTCTTTTCAGTTCAGTAGCTACTTAGTTTTAGAGTTTTTGCTATTTTAGAGGTATTCTAGGAGTAGCTATGTCATTAATGATTTAATCTTTTATTCTTCTGAAAAATGGGAATGAATTTTTTTTAAGTGAAATGAAAATGAAAGGGTCTTCAGATTGACAGTGGGGCCCACCGGCACCAACCGCGATTATACCGTACGGCGAAAGGAGAGGACGGCCCATGAGGAGAATCCAAGACCGAAAAACCCCACAACTATCTCCTCCCTTCCACCTCGCCTCCCTCCCTCCCTCCCCTCCCCAAGTATCCACTCCTCTCCTCTCTCGCCTGACTGGCACAGGCACCAGCGCCGAGAGGGGGAGAGGCCAGAGGAGGAGAAGCCGTACGTACGGGGGCGCTCGCTAGGGTTTGCCACGCCGCGCCGCTGACCCCGCGAGGACGTCCCTACCGCCGACGACGCCGCCGCCATGGCGCGGCGTCACGGGTGGCAGCTCCCCGCCCACACCCTGCAGGTGCGCTCGCTGCTTGCGCGCCGTCTCGTCTCCCCTCCTGTTGCTGTCTGTGCTCGCGCGCGCAATGTGGCTACGGATCTCGCTGCGTCTCCATTATTCCGCGGTCTGACGAGCGGAGCTCGCTGTTGCTGGTGCTATTGCTTACGCGTCTACTACTCTACTACTAGTAGTATGTTTTAGGTTCCAATGAGTCAGTATGCGTTGTTTGATTTGATACGATGTTTTTACTCTCTTGTGTAGTCTCTACTCCGTAGGTATGTGTGTGTTTGATGCAATTGGTTGCTTCGCCTGAATATTGTTTATGCTTCTAGGCGAGTTCACTCTATAGTCTATGTCTAGAACCACACTAGTATTCCAGTACGAGGATTTGATTTGCTTCTGCTGCTGTGACACGAAATTGTACGTCGATTTGATTTTCTTAATGGTTCCCCTGATGGCATATGCTATCTGAATTTTAGGCGGATGCTACGTTCCTGATCCCGTGCGTTGTAGTATATGTGGTGTCTGATTTGATCTGGCATGTAGCTTTGGGCATAAAAGTGGTACTTTTTGTTCGTTTTCTGTTGGTCTCGTCTGCTCTTTCTTTCTCTGATGTGATGTGCGACCCTGGACTTGGGGGCTCCCCTAGGCCCTAACTCTCCTTTTGTCTTCTTCCTATTTGCACTATGGATTCTCTGGTTTGAGTTTTTCTTTTTTTTGAGGGCCTCCTATTTGATTTCTTTCTCACACCTGAGTTAAACATTAGGATATCTATGGATTCGTGATTTCCTGTTGATTTTTCAGATGCAGAATTTTAGTTACTCCAACCTTTTTGATGTTATCCGTTTAGAGTAGGAGTAGAAAAGATGCATCCGTGTTTGAAATGATGGAGTGCTCAGTTCGGTGCCAGTGGCTTTGCCATTCTGGACAACGTTCATTTTTTTTTTCCTTTTCTTTGTTTTTATATTTCTTAGTATCTCTTTGTTGCATATCGTTTTATGCTAGAGCCAACTTTCGTTTCTATCATGAAATTCTTATTACCCGGCAAAAATCATTAAATTCTTATTGTCAACAATTAGCACTGCTTCAACTAAGTTATACTAGTGAAATCAAATTAGTTACCTTCAACTAGAGACTAAGGATAATAATCCGAATGACGTTTTAGCGTCATGTTGGTGGTCTGTTGGGTTTCAAAAAAATGTTGGTGGTCTGTCCTATTATGTTGTTAGTGCTTTTACCTTTTTATCTTACGGTCCCAGTTATGCACTTTTTCAGCTCTGTTTAATGTGTCATGTGCAAGAATTTATCTGGATTCATTGAAGAACTGTAGTTTACCTGTGTAACTGCAGTATCCCGCTAAAATTTAGATCAACTTGTGTGCATTCTTAGTCATGGACTCATGGCTCTGGTCTATGTTGTTTTATCTGCACTACCTCACTAAGTTTACATGTTTTGGAGATCAAACAAGGGAAGAGGCTATAAACTCTTGGCAAATAAAGCTTAATCTTTCATAAAAGCCTGTAAGATCTGAGCATGCATGATCGTCTTGTGTAATTTTGTTTTAAGTTTTTCGCCTATAAACCTCATACTCAAAGCTCTTGAAATATTCAATGTTTGTAAGAATCCCCTAGGATCAGTAATGTTCAGCCTTCCTTTTAACTAGAAAGATGGTGTATATATGGGGATCTTGGACTCTTAGTCTTCTACTCTTCTTTATCTGCTGAATTTGTAGCCTCTTAATTAGATCCTGTACTTCCTTTCATGTGCTGATGTCGATGCATGCTATCCCATGTTTACCTCTTATTAAAGCAAGTGATTGAATATTTTTTTTCTTTTTCTTTTTTGCAGGTGGTAGCTATAACGGTGTTCTTCTTGTTGTGTATAGAATTCTATGCTTTCTTTTCACCATTTCTTGGGAAGGACTTGTATCAATTTATCGCAATAGGTGTTTATAGTTTTCTGGTAATGTTCTTCCTGTTCACGCATTGAATTTTGGAGTAGTAGATTTTGTTTGACAAGCGTTTGATGTTCATTTCTGGCATTTCAGGCCTTATCAGTACTGATTCTATATGTAAGATGTACTGCTATTGATCCTGCTGACCCTGGAATCATGATTACTGTCAACGGTGCTCTAACCTATAAGTCAGAAGGTATCTGCTCATACTTGGAACTTTGATGTAATTCATGTAGTAGTAGGCACATGTTATACTAATGTAGCAAATCATCTTGTTTTGCTCAAAAGCAAAATTAGACACACAAGACGAAACGGGCAAATCAGAATCGAGAACCTATGAGGATGTCCAAAAGCACAAATCATGTTTAGGAGCTGGTTGTTTGTGTTGTGCTATATTTGTGAAAGAGGATTGTCGCAAAGATGACGAAGCTTACCAACAAGAAGATTATGATGAAGAGGCACTCTTTTGCACCCTTTGCAATGCAGAGGTACTTATCCACAGCCCCATCCTTAGCGTGTGCATACCATACCATTTTTAAGACCTCGTATTCATTTTCTCTGCTTTTGCAACATATATGGACTTGGTATTTTGAAAAACATAATTGAACTGTAAATACTTACCTGCTGCATCCATTGATTCAAGTTTACATGTCTGTTTAACACCTGTATATTTGACCTGAACATAGTGGTACAAGGCTATTATTCATGGTTGCTTTACAACAGACGCACATAACAAAGTCTTATCGTTCATTTGTATCACTTCGAATTATATTTGCATGAATGTGGCCTAACCAGAGTTATAATGTTTCAAGACTTCTCTAACAGTCAACAGGTGCTATGTAAGAGGCAAAACTTTTGAAAAAGCTTTTCATTACAAGTTCTTCGAATCAATTTTTGCCTATAGACACACAGAATTTAGAATTCTTATGACAATACAGGGACATAGATGCCCGGGAAAATATGTGGTGGAAACTTGGAAACTACCGTTGGATCGAAAAATGGACATTCGATATTCATCCACGTCATCACAAGTAAACAGTAAAATTTTTACTCATGATGATGTGGATGAATCTCGGACGTCCATTTTTCGATCCAACGGCAGTTTGCAAGTTTGCACTACATATGTGGTTTCCACCACATATTTTCCCTGGATGCCCAGATCAAACAGAATTAATTAGCATGGTTTAACAGCTAATAAAGAAAACTCGTACTAAGGATGATTAGGAATTTAGGATCCAAGTATGAAATAACTAAAAAAAAAATCCCCTGTTGAGACATTATATCAGTTATTGTTAGTGCCATCAACATTTTGTGCTTCTTAACTATTTTGGTGCTTCTGAAATATTAGTGGATCGTGAGTAGAGACCATTTAACATATTTGTTTACAGCAGTTTTTATTCACTGTATATGCTAATAATCCAAAGTTTTGGTTCATACTCAGTACCCTTTCCTTGTACATTGATATAGGTGCGGAAAAATAGTAAACATTGTCGGAGTTGTGACAAATGTGTTGATGGTTTTGATCATCATTGCCGGGTAGGTTTATGTTAAAGCTTCTGTTTCATAAACTTCACTTGTCCTTTTGCCCTTTCACTTTAGTTTGTTGACATGGCTATTCTGATGTTGTTTTGGTGTTTCTGATGCAGTGGCTGAACAATTGTGTTGGAAGAAAAAACTATGTCACATTTCTGTGCCTTATGGCTGTGAGCCTTGCTTGGGTATGTAAAATAATCAAAACAATATTAATATTTCTATCAATGTTTATATTCTTTTAACTGCTGAGAAACTTGTGTCTTGTGGATTTGGTGCTCTGGAAGCAATTTTTCATGTTTCTAATTGTGGTTGTTCATAATCTTAAATGCATAAAGCTTGCTGTTGAGTCCGGAGTTGGTATTGCTGTTTTTGTCCGTTGCTTCACTGACAAAGCAGCTATTGAAGATCAGATAGGGGAAAAGCTGGGGTATGGTCTTTCACGAGCACTCTTTGCAGCTATTGGGGTAAGTGTGGCTCTTTAACTTTGAGGCGTATGGTTGCAGTAATTTTCATGTGTATCTAGATTTGAGCATGACTACTTAGAAAGGTAGTATTCTGTGTAATATTGTTGTTGTGCTGAAATAAGATGGAGTAACTTAGTATGAATAGGACTAGTCTTGTTACAGGGCAAATAAATAGTATGCCACAGCAGCTGTGACCTGTGAGTAAACATTTCCACCCAAATGCAAGCTGCAGCTGCTACATATCATAGTGGAAGATTTTGCTCCCAGAAAACTATTTATAATAAACTAGTTAGTGTTCAAGTCTGGCTCTTATACAAGAATAGAAGTGCCTTCTCAACCCTGCACACATGCGCTAAGAATAGAGCAAGGATATCATCACTGAAGAATGTGACAATTCATTTGCACCTGTTCATAGTTAGAACTATCTCTATTGGGGATTACCTTTTGTGCACAATATATATCTTTTGAACAAAGTGTACCACATTGATTAAGAATGTAAAGGATTAACTAAAATCATTTCTGTCTTCAGGCCCTGGGTACAGCTCTTTCAATGCTTGCTTCAGTGCCACTTGGGGAGCTATTCTTCTTCCATATGATATTAATCCGGAAGGTTGGTGATTTTACTCTCCTTTGTGAAGCTTTAGTCACATTTTTCTCCATTGATGGAATATGATATGGTTTTGTTGCGCCACTTTTTTGCAGGGCATCACAACTTATGAATATGTTGTGGCAATGAGGGCTCAGAGTGAACCTCCTGGTCCTTCTGTCAATGATGAACAACAAAGCCTGCCATCATCTCCCATGAGTTCTGCACCGACTGCTTTCAGTGGGAGCTCATTTGCACGGCACTACAAAGGTGCGTGGTGCACTCCACCACGCATATTTATTGACCAGGTATGAATTCTGTCCAGTATTACTTCTAGTTCATGTCAACTTTTAAGGTAGTTGATCACTTAATTGTCCAGTGTTTGTGTTCTATCATGGGAAGCACAGCAATTCTCTATGTAGTGTTTTTTAATGAACTTATGCATTTAACACCAATGAACCTTATTAGAAACAAGCACAGTTTTTTTAGTTAATGTATCAGAACTGTTGCTTAAAAGCCATCCTCTGCGCCCATCATATTCGTCCTTATTTTAAGGTTCAATTTATCTATTACCTTTTGAGAAAAAAAATCCTGATATGTTTGATTCTGTCCGCGTCACACCACAGGATGAAATCATCCCACACCTGCAACCTGGACGAGTGCCTTCAACTGTTGATCCTGATAGCATGAACCCGACTGAAAGAGCCAAACATTATCCTAAACGTCCCGTGCGCATTAGCGCATGGAAGCTTGCAAAACTGGATTCAAACGAGGCCATGAAAGCAGCAGCAAGAGCCAGAGCCTCTTCATCTGTGCTTAAACCGGTCAATACCCGTGCCCAATACGAGGCAGACCGGTGTTCCAGTGATAATACCAGCTGCAGAAGCAGTGTCATGAGTGTTGATATTGGAAACCACATCAACAGTCGGTCTGTCCGGAATTCTCAATACAAGTCCTCTTATCCACCCAGCAGAGCAAGTGCAGATGACATTGAGCTGTATCCCCAGACACCAAGTAGCTTTCAAAGCAACTCTCAGACTCCAACACCGATTTCAGAGCACCATCCTGCAAAGCATTTCAATCCAATTTATCAGACATCAGCAAACAGGTCTCCATTCTCAGCAGTAGCAAGTGGTGTCAATGAAGCGTCTGTCTCAGATATCAGCACAAGGAGGTTTGGTGCATCGAACGCAGACAGATCTTCTCGTTCATCTGTTTACTGGGATCAGGAAGCTGGCCGCTTCGTCTCTTCCCAGGCAAACCATGGATCCAGCTCTCGTTTGCCCCGTAGTGACCTTCTTTACACTGGACAGTCTATATTCTTTGGTGGACCTCTGATGACAGATCCTGCAACAAGAAGTTTCAGAGATCCTGGCGGTTCGAGCCAACGCGCTGGTGCTTCTCGGCCGCATCAGCTCCCCGTGTTCGTTCCTAGTGATCCCCAGAAAGATCGTTTCTCTAGGCTACCTTGAAATAAACTCTTTTTTGGAGTAGTCTTCTGAAACAATTGTTGCTCTGTTGGTTTATTCAATGTATAGTTCTTACATCAGATCGATCGTAGGCTATGATTTTCTTTTTGATATTCAGGTGGAAACTGAGATTAATTTAGGTATTGATGATTTTTAATACAAAATCATGCAAAGTCTTCTGTTCATAAGGAAAAAGAGGATCAGAAGAATTTGCCAGACTAGATGAGCGTCTCGCTGTCGTTGGACACTATCAGTTTCACCTGGTTGGTTATCCTCAAATCTCAGTTGATAACCACCAATCCTATCAGTCATGTACTGATAATATGGTTTCGGTTTCCCTTCCAATCTCCAATGGATTATCCTCTAATTCCATGGCTGCTATTCTGCGGCATGTCAAATGTCAAGGTTATCTTGAATCCACATGAGGGCGTTGCCCACTTACTTACCTGTCCGCGAGTACATAGCTCGGTGGCTGCAATCATAATTTACAGCCAGCTTTTGCTTGCACGCCCTTTTCAGGAGCTCACTCGTGTAGAAATGTCCACCGTGCGAAGGAATAAACTGATGGTAAGTGGTGGCGCATCTGCAGATTTTTGTCATCTTCAACTCTCTCGGATCATAAAGGTGGACGTACCTGTCATCACGGCGGCCTCCTCCCGGCACGTGAGAAAGACGTTTTTCGTGGTGAAATGCGATCACTGTGACCATGTGGTGAAAGACAAAAGTAACGGTGCCTGCATTTTGGAGCCATGTAAAACCTGCGCCATTGAAAAGCTGAAGAAAGGGGGTAGGTCGGATAACCGACTTCCACGCGCAACTGCCTAGTGCCGTTCCGAGCCAATCCCTCGAGCGTACCTCTTTCAGAAACGCGCGCGCCTCCCCTGGGCATCATCCTTTGCATGCCCGTGTGCTCCGTATTTACGCGAACGAGACGCGACATCAGTGCAGGACGTATGATGCGTCACAAGCCGTGCCTATGCAGTGCCGCATCGATATTACAACGAGTACTAGTACGCTACGTGTCGCATCGCCAGCCGGCAGAGAGGCAACCGAACCTACTGGTTCGGTGAGCATACGCTTTTCGCCGGGGGAAAACAAAAAAAAAAAGGAGTGGCCACTGGCCCGGTTGCCACATGGGCACGGTTCAAACCGCGGGGGCGACGAGTCGACGGGGTCTCTTTGCACCGAGCTCGAGCGAAGTCGGCGTCCACCACCGTACTTTAGGACGCCGCGGATTCGGGAGCCACAGCCATCAACCATTCGTGGAAACGGAACCGGGCATGATCACACGCGAACGGCGTGCGTGCCCCCGCGCGACCCGCCCACCACTGGAAGACAACACCCCCCCACCCCCTCGCGCCACACGTCGCGAACACGACGACCCCGACCCCCGAATTCTCGTCCCTGCCTTCGCGTACCTTTTGCCGTCGCTGTCTATGTGTCTCCTTAAGCATTTCCCTCTCCGGGTAACACTGGGAAACGGGCAAGAGAAAAGCGAGAGAACCATCGGCGACAGTGCAAACACGAACACCTCCCGATGCTGTCGTGATCGTCACTGCTTCACCGGCTACTAGTACTGACTAGCGTCCAGTGCATCTTTCGGACGTCCGCTTTTCCAACCGAGCCGTCCGCTGCTCGAAACTGACGATGCAGAGTGTGGAGGAGAGGAGAGCCGCGAGATTAGCGGGGCGCGAGGCAAAGGTGGACGGGACGGCGCACCGGGCCGAAACCGAAGTGGAAAGCTTGTAACCGAAGCGCGCGTGGCGTGTGACGACGACGCACACCCATCCGGAGCTTGCCGGGGCGCCATTTGGGCAATTGCCATTTGGGGTCTCTCGTGTGTGGGATTTTTTTTGTTGCACTCTTCGTGCGCGTGGTCTGGCCGGCGCCGAACTATCGTTGCCTATGGCAGGAACGAAGGTTATCCGTCGGTTTGTTGGTACTAAGGCCTGGTTTAATTCCCAATTTTTTCTTCAAACTTTTAACTTTTTCTATCACATCAAAACTTTTCTACACACGCATAACTTCTATTTTTTCCGTTACATCATTCCAATTTCAATTAAACTTCTAATTTTAGCTAATTTTAGCGTGAATTAAACATACCCTAAAGCATCGGTGAGGTAACTGACGCGAGGGATGGACCAAGCTAGTATTACTAGTTTACTACTACTCCATTAAAAGCATGCTGTTCTGCGACCTGCGATGATGGTTATTTTGGCAATAGGAGGAGAGGAAGATTGGTTTGGGAAGCAAATGAGTAGTTTGAATTTGAGGGGTCCGAGCTTATCCTCAACTGAGTTTATCGGGTATACAGACAATTGAGTTTATAGGACCACTTTAAGATTACTTCTTTCGTAAAAAAAAGGTAAGAGATTTTTTTATGAATGGAACACATTATATTATTATGAATCTGGATAAACATGAGCTTATCCCCAATTGAGTTTATCGGGTATACAAACAATTGAGTTTATAGAACCATTTTAAGAGCTTTTTATCCATCCCAAAATATAAGAAATTTTGTATAAATATGATATGTCACATTTATGCAAAATCTCTTATATTTTAGAATGGTAGGAGTACCATTTTTGTAAACAACAGTCTGGAACTTAGGATTCACACCTTGTGTAAAGCAGTAGGACATGTGAGGACATTGATCATGCTTGCTACTCCTATTTATACATGGGGTTCCACATTTCACTAGTTTGGCAAAGTCCGTGGGTCAGTCAACACTTAAGTCCATTCACTATGAGACAGTTAAAAATCAGGACACTTAGGAAAGTAATATTCCGACACCGAATTTATTCTGAATGATTATTGTAAATAAAAAAGTAAAGCCGATTCACGGTAACATATTAGTAGTACTTTTAAGCAATGTTTGATAAAAAAGAATACTCTAAAATCACTAACCCGCGTACATCACCATCGATACACATACAAAAAATAGGTATAACATGTGAAGATGTTGATGGTTATCAACAAAAGTAGTTACGAAACAATACAAATAATTCATACCACGACGAGATCATTCATGCGGCAAAAATCATTCTCTTACCACGTAAGTGTGTACGTAAAATAGTAGGTGTATATATATAGAGAGAGAGGATACACATATGGGACTTCATAGTGCCCGGGTTCCAAGGAATAAAACACACAAATTCTCTCAAATTTTTAAAAATTTTCAAATTGTGAGTATATACCTAGGTATATGAATTTGATTCATACAAATACCTAACAACAAAACAACTCAAACTCAACTTTATTTCACAATTCATTACCTAACGAATTATATATTTGGATGTTATATACCTAGAACCAAAATCTAACCAAAAAAAAAAGTTCAAACTTGTTTGAACTTGTTAGTAAAGAAGTTAATGTTCAAATCTAAACATTTTAAAAAAATTCATACTCATTCAAATTGGGTATATACTCAATTGAATCTTTAAGCCCATACTCCATGTAGCACCAGTTAATTTATCTATATATATGTGTGTTTTACGCCCTCTGTTTTATTTAAAAAAACGAACTTTTTACTATAAATCTGAACATAACATATGCCAAAATTTACAGCTTGAAGTTGATTTTTTTTAAAAGAACGAAAGGAGTAGCTTTGAAATTCAACTTTCAGATACACGTCAAAGTAAAAACACCATCTTGCCAGGACGGCAGTGCTGCTCCATCAACAACGTGGCTAAGTAATTGGAGTACATGGTCCAACCGAGCAGGAAAAGGATTAATTCACTTCGCGGTATTTGTGCGGCCTACCGGATTTAGAAGGTAGCCCACTGTCTTTCGCGAAACCAACGATCCCCCCTATTCCTTCCAACCCCGAAACACCGTGGTTTACTTTATCCGTTCCTTCAAAAAGGCAAGAAGAGAAAAAGGAAAAAAAACTGCGGAGATGGCTTTGCTTCTATATAAGCCAAGGCCACTGCGAGCTCCGCTTCTCAAACACACTTGTCACCTTCTCTCCCCGCATCGCAACGATAAGCCCGTGAACCCGACCCCGCGCGCCACCCGTCCTTCCCACCCCCGAGCGAGCTAGAGAGGAAGACGATGCAGCTCATGGCGGCCAGGAAGCTTCTAGAGCAGCCGGGCACCGCCGCGCCGCCGGTGCTGGGCGGCTCCATCGCCGACGACAGGGACATCGTCATCATCCTCGCGTCGCTCCTCTGCGCGCTCATCTGCGTGCTCGGCATCGGCCTCGTCGCGCGCTGCGCGTGCTCCCGCCGCGGCGGCGGCGGCCCCGACGCGGCCGCCGCCAACAAGGGCGTCAAGAAGTCCGTGCTCCGCGCGATCCCCACCGTCGAGTACGTCTCCCCCGGAGGCGGCGGCAAGGGGAAGGAGGAGGAGGAGGCGGCGGCGGAGGAGGGGGAGCAGTCCGAGTGCGCCATCTGCCTCTCCGACTTCGAGCACGGCGACGCCATGCGCGTGCTCCCCCAGTGCGGCCACGCGTTCCACGCCGCCTGCATCGACAAGTGGCTGCGCGGGCACTCCTCCTGCCCCTCCTGCCGCCGGATCCTCGTCCTCCAGCTTCCCCAAGGCGAGCGGTGCCAGCGCTGCGGCGCGCGGCCAGAGCCAGCCGCCGCCTCCGCGGTCTGGAAGCCGACACACTACAGCGAGGTCCCGCCCTTCTTGCCGTAGAAGGCGCAGCCGCATCGCGCGCTCCGGAGATTCCGGGGGGCTAGAGCTAGAAGAGGAACAGAGAAACCGACCAAACCATAAGCCTGAGATGGTTAAATTTCTCGTTTGCTTGCTAGATTTTAGTGCCCTAGCTAGCTGGAAATGGATAGCATTTGGGAAAAAATTCCGAGTCAGAGATCCTGGTTTGCAACTTGCAAGTGGATGGCTGCAGCTTTTTCGCTTTGTACATTTTGTAAAGTGATGAGAATAAGATCTGCAATTTAGCTCCAATTGAGAGGATCCGAATGTCTTGCTCCCCAATTGTGGTCGACAAAGATTCTGATCCTGAGTAATTTGACAAAACTGTAATTTACTAGCAAGTGGATGATAGTACTGCTACTCTGCTAGCAATATCACCTGCAATGGTTATCTCTGCAACATTTATCTGCATTCATTTCGTTAAAAACGCCCTTTGCATGGTGTAACTGCTAGAGTATTATGATACTGCATTTATATTTAGAGAAAAACTAGAGGACGGTATTCCGTTCTCCCGACGGTATAGATTACGATTTCTGCTTTCTACAGTCAGTGCCCTGCGCTCGTCGCCCATCTTCCAAGCGTATCACATTATATTCCTGCTCCCAACCTGTCCAGCAGAGTGCATGTGCATATTCATTCTGCCACGTATGACTTTGTTCATTGGACCAGGCCAAATATACTTGAAGATAGCTTTGTAATACTAATGTGAAATCACAGTAAGTCAGTAACAAACTGAAAATTAAGTATTTCTATACAATTTTTAAGAAAGGATACCGGATGTATGTGATACACGTGATACTTTCACAGTACCATCCTAATATACCAGATCGCGTGATACTTTCACAATACCATCCGAATATACCAGATGTATCATCATACCTCAAGAGTACATGTACCAGATAATACCATCGAGGCATCACTCGGTACCATCGAGGTATCACCTAGGCACTCGGTACTGTTAAGGTATCATCGTATATCCGGTATTTTTAAGGTATCACTCGGTACTCTTGAGGTACTTTTAAGATATCATCGTATATCTGGTATTCTCGAGGTATCACCTAGCCCTCGATATTGTTAAGGTATTATCATATATTTGATACTCTTAAGGTATCACTCGGTACTTCTAAGATACTTTTAAGGTATCATCGTATATTTGGTACTCTCGAGGTATCACCTGGTACCATCGAGGTATCACCTAGGCAATCGGTACTGTTAAGGTATCATTATATATCTGGTACTCGTATCACTCTAGGATACCGGATATATGATGATATCTTAACGGTACCAGACCTGATGATACCTCGAGGGTACCTGATAAATGGTGATAACTTGATTGTATCGGGCCTGAGTGATACCTTATTGGTACCGGTGATACCTTGAGAGTACCGGATGATATCTATCAATTGATATCTTGAGAGTATCGGATGCATAATGATAGCTAGCTCAAGGGTATCGGATAATATCTCAACATTACTAGATGTGTACCGTACAAATATCCCAGAGATTTTATTGTCATCTTATATATTAGCACAACCATCTAGCACATAATCGTCTAGCTAGAGTACGTAGCTTTAGACGGAAAGAAATAGTTAGCATTTTATTAGTCAAATATATGCACTGCAAAATTTAAAAACAATAGATACAAGCCTACCATCAAAACCCAATAGAGACAGGAGCACGTGTCCAAGGGTTGGCTGCGTGCTGCACTGAGAGCCTGCCAGCGAGGTGCTTGTGAGCGTCATGCCAGGATTGGACACGCGGGACTCCAAGTCACGGGGAATCTTGTGCTCGTGGGTGTATAGAGAGGTATACCGTCCAAACGGTACACCGTCCTTATATTTAACAACTGCCGTATAATAAGATGTCCTTGCGCGTCGGGTAAAAATCCTTTCTGTCAGTGCTGGATTATCAGACGTACACAGTATTAGCTGCCTTCGCTGTCGACTTATAATATTGATATACGGAAAATACCTACCAAATTAACAAGCACCAGAGATAAGCACCTTGCTCAGAATATTATTACTAAGATTCTGTTTTTCTTTAAAAAATAATGTTACTACTAAGATGGAAGCTCTTTTTACAGCCCATTTCAAACGTGTGAATTGGCCTTTTCTTAAGGTGACAGATCCTCAATTTCTATTCCACTAAACCGAGTATGTGTTATCCAGTTATCTTCGGTACTTTGAAATGTTGATCTTCCTCCAAAGAACTGTTATTCTATTGCCCTATCTTCGCTTTGGTTGCTTGCGTGACTTCCTTTAGCTGTTTAGCATATTTTAACTGAAACTCTCACTTTTTTACAAAAAGTAAATTGAAAACATGTGAAACGAGATCCCAGCAAAAGGAGTTGAACGACATTGATTACTTTACCCTTGTCACACTTCCTTATGATTGGCTCAAGAATCTTAACTTCTAAAATACCGGCGCATTCTGCTCAAGTTGCCAGTCACTGATCAGTCCTAACTCCGAGTAAGCAATGCTACTACTATAGCTTACTAATTGTAATTTAGATGCGCACGGCACAAACGTAGCACTAGTTTAACAGTTGAAAAAAAAAAGAGCGCAAGTCGGAGAAAAGGCAAAAGAAACGGAAAAGTAATCCTACAGGAGCAGCAGTCATGGTCAAACTAATCTCTGAGCGTGTTATGTGCCGCAAAAGCTCAATTCAGACACTAGTTTAGGGAGCAGGAGATAAGATAAGTGCTGGCTCTTCCGCATTTTGCACTCGTGGGTTGCACTAATTAAGAACGATATCCTTGGATTGGGTTTGTGTTTGTTGGTAAAGAAGAAATGGGGGTAGAAAGAGGACTTCTTTTTGGGACTGTGAACTAGAGAACTGGCTGTGGTTGTGGCCAAACCAACAGCTAAGTCAAAGATTATTTTTCTGATCCAATAAAAGAACCGGAAAGTCATTGGATCCAACACCCTAGATAACGGATGCCCATCGGCCGGCAGCGACTATACGGATATATGAGTAAAATAAACTCATTCAGATAGGAGTAAATATCTATTCGCTGTAGTGCTTCAATAAAAAAAAAGTTTTAAAACAAATATATCTTGCACTTTCAGTTTTTGGGTCCCAACATTATTGGTCACTCCCCGTGATAAGATATATACAAGTTGACGATACCGCACAGTTGACATGGCATGGAGGCCGGGTAGCTCGCCACCGGGTGGCAACCTGTAGCATTACCGCGCATACGCACAGCAGCAGCACATGCTTATCGCCTCCGTGCTCTCGCTTTGCACGCGCAAGAGTCGATGGACTAATTGGAGGTATGGACCAGGATGGCATTTTGACTCCCGCACCTGAGGTCGGCGAGCGCGTCCGTGCCCCGGGTACGGGAATTAACGGTCTGTACGATCGGCAGGCAGCTTGGCCACTCCACTTGTGCGGTCGTGCGGAGAACCTGGAATGGGCAGAGCAGGATGAAGACGTCGTTGCTGCCGAATCCGCAACGTACGCCCGTCGGGGGGTCGTGTGTACTGGTGAGCTGAGAGTTCGGCGTGACGTCTGCTAGCTTCGTGGCTGAAACCGGCGGGTGCCATCTTGCGGCTGTGTCGTGTACCGCGCGCCGCCACGCCCCCCGCCCCCGCCCGCTGCCCGCACGCTGTCGTCCAGGCAGTTGGCCTGCGAACGGGAGATAGCCGCTGGCGGGGGCCGTGGAGGTGGACAGATGGGTGGACTGTGGAGCTGCTGGTATAAGCTGGAGTACACAATAATCTTATATAAAACATCTCCGCGTTTTTAATAGGTGATATTGTTAACTTTTTATCACGCGTTTGTCTATTCATCTTACTAAAAAATACGTAATTATATATATATATATATATATATATATATATATATATATATATATATATATATATATATATATATATATATATATAATTGTATCTCTCAAAATATTTTAAGCATGATTTATATCTTATAAATTTGCATAAATATATTAAATAAGACGAATAGTCAAACATATATTCAAAATTCAACTGCATCGTCTATTAAAAAACGGGGAGAGTAGTACTCTAATTCTTAACCTTCGACACGAATAGTAAAAGGAGAAGTAAAAAAACTTAGTTGCTTTGTTAGTGTGGAGATTATGAGTACCACATACCCACACGGCATAGTTATCCGACTAGTTATAGGGGATAGCTTATATCTATGGAATGTGTAATGAATCATGACTTGGGTATTACGTTTTCTTGTATATTATGAAACGGCCTAAAGTCTTGGTTTGATAATATTGTAAAGTAGATTTAGGAAACCGATACCGTATTGGTTACGGTTTCTATCTTGTAATCCTACCCCCATCCTATATAAGGTGGGCAGGATGCCCTCTAGGGAGCGTGAGACACAACCAGATCGTCGGATCTATAATACACACGGCGGATTCAAATCCCCAAACAGGAGTAGGGTATTACCTCTCATCGAGAGGGTCTGAACCTGTCTAAATCCTTGTCTCTACATCTATCCACTTTTAGGTCTCGTGCGCTACCACCTTTTATTATTGCTGAATTCTTGTTTCGATAGTTAGAATGGGTGAGGTGTAGACCTGAATTAATATGGGTTATAATAACACTAAGGGGTAGAATGAGTAGTTTATAATGGTAAAAAATAAATTTTATAATTATTACTCTCTTTGTTTTATATTATAAGTTGTTTCAATTTTTTTCTTAGTCAACGTTATATAGGTTTGATCAAGTTTATAAAAAAAATCAACATTTGTAACACCAAATTAGTTTAATTAAATTTAATATTGAATATATTTTGATAATATGTATGTTTTGTATTAAAAAGTTTGTATTAAAAATGTTACTATATTTTCTACAAACTTGATCAAACTTAAAAAATAATTAAGAAAAAAATCAAATAACTTATAATATAAAACGGAGAGAATATGTTGTTATATTTTTGGACAAAGTTTTAACTACAAAAGTTGTTATATTTCAAAGGTGGAGGTAGTATGCGAAAGGGCATGTAGCCTAGTGGTTACAAGAGCCTCAGTTGTACCTGAGGTCCTGGGTTTGCCTCCTCATGGGAGCAAATTTTTCAGAATTTAACGGCGTTGTACTTTCAGTGGTAGGCGATGTACCCATGGACAACGAGACGCCTATGTGTGTAATTCTAGAAAAAAAAAGTGTGAAGTATTTTACACACCACGAGCTGATGGGACGTATGCCATATTCTTTGTTGTTAAGGCTGAGACATAAATTTAAAATCTAATGATAACAACTTATACGGGTCATGTTATATTTCAGAGCAATGTAGAAAGAACCAACATCTACGGCATAACCTTCCCTTCAAAAGTATTACTTGAAATCTAATGATAACAACTTATATGGGTCATGTTATATTTCAGAGCAATCTAGAAAGAAAAAGCAAACCAACATCTACTACATAACCTTCCCTTAAAAAGTATTACTATAGAAGAGAAAACTGGATATCATGTGCTATCCGAGTTCAAATCTAAATAAAAATAATGAGTCAATTGTACTTTGGGCCACCTTTTGTTGCCATACTACGGCAATAAAAAGTGGCCCAAACTGCAATTCACTCTAAAAGGTTATTGGTTAGGATATGTGAAAAGTTGTATCCACATGTTTGTCCCATATTATTATACATATATACAAATTACGGAATCCACCTATAAATATAATAAAAGATTGGTTAGTCACTATTTTACGAGCTTACAAGTAATATTACATAATTTTTTTCTTGATGTATCTTTTTTAACACTCTAATTGTCTCAATAGATTTAATTTTTATGAGTTAGAGCTATAAATATATATCTGTTTCCCAATCACATTTCGAAGGGAAAAATTGAATATGATATGAAGGATATGTTATCTGGTACTACATGATCCTAAATTTGAAGAAAATATGGGTTAGAATACTAAAATATTGTGATCCGACTGTTTCAGATCCGATTCCACTCATAGAATGAGTTCAAAGTTTTTTGTGCTAGGACCTACAAATACTTCATCAATGCAACCAATCACAAAACATTTGCATTCCACTACCCAAAGATCGACCCAAGATAAGTGAGATCAGACATGCCCAATTTGTTTTGAAATGGGGCTATCAATCATTTACCAGCTGCCACCCACAACCACAAATATAAGAATTCGTTAATAGTTAGTGTGGGGCAACCATCAAATTCTCCATTTCCCATGTACTAATCCGCTTAACTTATAATGAACACATGAAACTCGTAAATCCGTTGGAAAAAGAAACGTATCTAACCATGTCGGCAAAAGGCAAAAGAAACCCCAAAATAAGTGATCTTGCGAGAGCAGTCAGGTCAAGCTAATCTCTGAGCACGTTGTGTGTGTGATCCAAAAGTTCAATCAGCAAACTAGTTTAATCATAGATTTGCAGGAGATAAGATACGAGTAGTTTCCCGCATTTTTTGGCACCCGTGGGCCGGCCGCACTAGTAAGGTTATGCTGGATAGAATCGGTGTTTGTGGTTAGAAACTTAGAACCAAGAACTAGTGGGGCCAAAGCCAGACAAAACGACCTTAACTCTCGTATGGCCATGCTATTAACGTGTAGGTAGTAAAAAGTTCGTGGTAACGAACTTCTTCGAGCCATCGTTTTTCTCTGTTCATACAAAGGGCCTCTGCTTTCCTTTCTTTCTGAAGGCGTTCTAAGGACTAATGTATTCCATGTTGAAGACTATACTAGTATAAAAACTGAGGCTAAAAGTTCCAAGAGTAGCAGTAGTACAAATCCGTAGTGTAGTGATATGGTGATTAAAGTAGTCCGACTCCAAGATAACCCGCATGCTTATCGCACCCGCCGTGCTTGGTTAGTGCCACAGCGTTGCATCAATCAGTCAATCGAGAACGGATCGGCACTCTGAATCCGCTAGCGATATCACGGCGGCAAGTTGATAAAGGAGTAAAGGACCTGGCAAAAGAACGGAGACGTGAGTCGTTCGTTCGCCAAACCCGCAGCGCGCCGCCCGTCCTATTGGCCGGTCTCGTTCGATCGGCGCGCGCGCGGTGTGGTGGCGCTCATGCGCCGTACCGGTGGGTGTCGTGGTCCGCGGGACGTCGCCTTCCTATCGTGTGTTGCCGCGACCGCGCGCGACCCCGCGGCTCGTGAGGCCGTGAGCGCGCGCGAGAGTGACATGCGCGCGGCGCGTACGCGGTGCACTAGGTCGGCCAGCCGTCGGTAGAGTTGCATTGCGTATCCAAAGTCCAGGAGACGTGGAATTTGTTCGTTTGAAGGGGGGGCCGAGCCGTGGCAGGCAGGCAAAGTAGACGAGTTGTACGCGAATACGGCGAGAGGAGTCGTTGTTGTCTTTGTTGATATTTTGATAAGGAACATATATGATATATCCTAGGCATAAGAAGTATTCTCGTGTATACGACGTGCATATCAACTAATAAATTTCATCAAATTACATATGTATATAAAGTTTTATCTTTAAATTTATTATGTACAGGGAGAAAAAAAAGATAATTTTTTTTAACATTTATACTCCTAAAACTATCAGAATATTTATTGAAATTCGTTAGTTGGTGTGCACCGTGTGAAAAAAAAAAAACTTGTGTGTATATGTACGTTCCCAGATGGGCTACATCTCAGATTCTGTATGTTGCTAGGCCTGGCAGGATTCGGAGTCGAGGCCCATGGGCTATTTCTGAAGCCCGCATAATCCGGTGTGCGAGACCGCGAGTGTCACTGTGCAGAGGGGGAAGCTGTTTAGCCATGGCCTCCGTCTCCATCTCCTACCTCGGGCCCTGAGCACATCCCCATTCCCCTAGCCTCAGCTCCTCCATGCGAGGGCGGTGATGGCGCCCGCCTCCGTCGCCGTCTCCCTCTCCTTCCGCGTCGTCCCGCCTCGGCCCTGCCGCCGGCGGGCGAGGTGGCCCCGGCCAATTAGGGCTTCGAGCGACGGTAGTGGCGTCGCAAACGGGGACCGGAAGGTCGGGGCTCTGGAGAGGAGGGTGGGAGATCTGAGGGCTGTCGTCGCCTCGGTGCCCCCTGCTGTTGCTGCGGTAAGGGCGTCCTCCGTAGTTAGTATTTCTGTCCATTCGAATTATGGATTAGTTTCTGTCAGTGTGAGAATGAGTTGGTGATTGCGAGTTGATTTTACTGCGTTTAAGGCGATTAAGCTGTCTGTGTGAACCTGTTAGGCATGTGTAAAGATGGGGCTGTCGTTGTGATAATGTTGGCCAGTAGAAGAAAATGCAGCCTATGCGGAGCATTTGTAAGTTTGCATGAACGTACAATATAGATGTCCCTTGAGATTATTTATGAACATAGTGGAATTGGATCTAAGTATATGGTTTTGTCATAACACTAATAAATTAATGTGAAAATTGCATGAGATTTCTATCCCATAAGCCCTGCTACTCTGTCCTTGTTGCTCAGTTGGTTGATTGGTTCCTTGCTCATGAGCAATCTGCAGTTCATTAGGGTATTTGTTGAAGTTTACGAGATTTTAGGCACTTTCATATCTTGTTCTTCTCTTTGCATGCAGATCAAGAAAAACATTGGACTAAACTTTATTGCTGGATTCTGTCTCGGCATCACACTTTTGGCTGCTGTTGCAAGACAGGTCATCATTAGGATTCATGAGCGTGACAATAAAGGCTCTGTTGCTGACCTAATAAGGCGTGGACAATTAAAATCAGGACAACGTGGGATGTATGTTGCTACCTAGAACTTAACTTTTGCATTTCCATCTACAATATCCACCAAAGCTATATGCTGAAATATACTAGGTGCACCATTTGGATTTGGCTTTTCACTGTTTAGTCTGCATGTTTATTAGTTCACCATAATGTTCAGATAAACCAATTACCTAGCACTGATTGTCAGGATTATACATTTATCTTGATGAACTTTTGAAGACACATTTCACAATTTCTGTGTCTATGCATAATGTTTACAAAGCATTCAGAACTGATATAGGTTGTTCATGTCTATATACTTGGTCTAACATTAGATTGCTAGTGTGCCATAATATCCAATTATATAGCCTTCTATTTTCCTTTATGATATTGTTATGTATTGTGTGAGGAATTGCAGTTATTTTCTGTCTTTAATTACTTACTTAATGTTATTTTAACACTACATTCCTACACCACAATCTTGTTGAGTGGTACAGCCAGTAGAATGCTACTTTAAAGTGATAGTGGTCATGTTCAATAAAACATAAATGATAAAAAAAAACCGTTGTACAGATGTGGAATTTTAGTTTAATTTCTATCACATCAACCCGTAAGAATTTGTTAATCAAGCAATATTTTGACAAATAACTACTGCAGAGCAAAACCCCGAGTGTACGATGATCCTTTCAATAATCCATTAGTCAAGATTGATGAGGATACTTCTACCGCTCAAGTGTTTGGCAAGGAGTACCGGCTTGCTCCCATTAGGCTTACAAAAGAACAACAAGCAATGCATCAGAAAAGGAGATCACGTACGTATCAGTGGAAAAGGCCCACTGTTTTTCTTAAAGAAGGTGATTCCTTGCCACCAGATGTTGATCCAGATACAGTTAGATGGATTCCCGTAAACCACCCATTTGCTGCTGCTTCAACTGAAGTGGATGAGGAGACTGCTAAACAAAATGTTTATCAAAAGGATGGGGTCCCATCCCGTGTCAAAGCTGAGCATGAAGCTTTGCAGACAAGGCTAGAGGCTTCAAATAATGTGAGTAGACCCTACCTGTTAGGATTTACGGCTTTATTTCAAAAGCTCCAACCTCATTCTAACAATTGAAGCTAGAATCCCATTCAATCAAAGACCTTTCCTTTTATCGCCTGTCTTTCATAATAATGTTCTAGAATCTCTACTATCTTTTGCAGGTTAACAAGTTCTCTTCTAGCCAAAGGAATATGCAGCTTAGTGACAGGCAACTAAGATTATCATCAAACGAGTCATCTGGGAGTCGGCAAAACTCGTTATCTGGCACAGTGAAGAACCAAAATGGTCAACCAACCTTGGAGTCTGAAAAGCGTAGCCCTGACAACAACTCACAATCAAAAAGTCTGGAAGAACAATAAATTTGTGATTTGTGTCAACTCCTTAGCACCTGCTTCAACAGCTTGTCAGCTTCGTTGTGTAGTGTACTGAGGACTCAGGTTTTAGCTGTAGATAGAAGAATTTTGGACCTGTAGGCTTACGTAGTGACTTGAGCATAGGGCATTGCTACGGAATGTATTTCGTATGTTGTAAAGGGATGGGCATGAGCATAGGGCATTGCTACGGAATGTATTTCGTATGTTGTAAAGGGATATTTTCTTTCTCAAGTTTTCCAGATGCACCCCAGTTGCCTACGACTACGAGTGCACGACAGCTTGCCTGATTCTTTAATTTGTTATTTTGCTCAATTCCTTTGTAGCATAATATTTGACAAATAACACTCAGATTCAGACAAGTCGATTCCAGAGAACTTTAATTTCAAATAATACAGTATACAACTTACAGCAGTAAGAATGGTAAATATGGAACTACTAAGGTACAAAATTTCACTGGGAATTATGATAGCCGATGGAAATGCCTACACGGCCTGCGGCCCATCTGCCTGTACAAATCAGCACGCCATAAACTGGGAACATATGTTTGAAGACATGCAAAAGGTGGGCTCCGTGAATTGAATCAGATATCTTCAGAGCCCTCTTCGTCGTTATCACCAAACATGGTTGCCATTTTCATGGCAAGCTTGGCAGCCATCTCTTTCCTTTGGAAGTCAGGCATGAGCCTTAAATTGGAGCGCATGTTGCCAATCTCTGACATTAGCCGCTCCAGATCATCTAGACCGTAATGCTCATCTTCAAATAGCTTGTTACCCTCTGGGATACCAGCTTGCAGTTTCTCTGAAGCATCTGCTTGTGTGTTATCCATATCATTACTAACCTCGCTTTTGTGGCTCTGAGGTACCAGTTTTTCCTCAGCAGTTTCTGTCATTCTGCCATTTGGAAGAGGATTGGATGCCACTGAATTAGCATCAGCATCCACAACCTGATTAGTTTTATCATGAGTAGCTGTATCTTCATTCAATCCCTCCAAGTCTCTTGACGTACTTGACTCACCAATGAATTCCCATTGTTCATCAGATCCATGGGACAGAACTTCGTACTCAAATTCGTAATTGGATTCATCATCTGTAGATTCTGTAGAAAGGAAACAGAATGGTTAAGGCAAGATAGACCATTTTAGTTGGACAACTAACAACAAATGTTCTGCTCAATAGGTAAGCATCTTTTAAGAGTTAAAGTTACTGAGCAAGGGAACAGCTTAGCATGGCACCCTAAGTTGCTCTATATTACAAAGTAAACAGGGTTCGTCAACTCATCCCAATGGTCTGGTTTAACTCACCTTCTTTCTCAACCAAGGATGGAACGGTTATTCTGTTTCCAGATTTCAGAATCATTCCAGGCCACATGTGTGCAGAAAGGGCTCCAAGGAGTCGCTCTAAGCCTTGACTATCTCCATTCACCGATAGACCTATTGCAAGGCACGGATATAAGTCAATTAAGAAAGAAACATTCCAACATCCAGTAAATATTCGACTTTGGCCAGAACAAGTCCTTTTTCATTGGAGATTATCAACACAATAATGATAATTTTTCATTAAAGAATACAAATAAAAACAACCATAGATGGGGCTAATTTGTAGCATGTAGGTCTGCACAATAACTTCATAAAATAACAGAAATAATCTGACAAAGTGAAACTTAACTGCCCAAACTAGAGCAACTCACAGTTCAATTCAATCAAATGAAATATAGCTGTTAAGTAATTCGGTTTCCAAACTGTCAGAAAGAATCTCAAAGTCTCGGTTAACATATGTTAAAACTAAAAAAAAAAGGATCAACACATGGAAAGGTTTTAGCTTTATTTTAGACGCATTTGAGTTTGAAGACTTAAACCAACCCAAACATGGTTCAGCCTGAAGCATTTTACAAAGAAGCTGAAACTATTTTCCCCTTTGTACTAAGAAGTTCAATGTCCTCACTCAGCTTCATTAACAACTAAGAATGTGCAACTTATGATGTTACTAACAGAAGTTCGGCCCTACCTGCATCTTCTACATTACTAAAGAAAGATGTGAGAAATCTAGTCAAACACTATGATGGAAGCAGATGAATGGCATACAGAAAATTATTTCTAAACGACACCACTGTTCAATATGGTAGCATACATATAACTAAAAAAAATGTGTTGATGAAGAAAACGATGTGGAGAAAACACTTAAGAATCACAGCCTCAATACAACTTACTTACATTTATCAAAGTCAGCATTGGAAGCACAAGCTTTGACATACTCAATATTGTGTTCAATGCACCAATGTGAAGCGGAGTCTCTGATCTCTATTTGTGGTTCTTCCTCTGATAACAATCCACAACCTTCACTTTCGTTTATCCCAAAATCCAAATATTCAGGATGTGGATCAGTACTTGACTCGCCAATCTTTTGCATACGCCTCCTATATTCTACGTGTGCACCATGGCCAAGCACAAGATCTGCTTTATTTCCAATGCACAACAGAATTTCAAACCTCTGAACATCAACACTAGAAACCCAGTTCTGGAGAGTAAGGAAGGATGATTCCTGCATCATTTCAAAGACAATTAGCCTACTGTACTATCAAAGATTAAAAAAATAAGATACAGAAATTATATAGTTCACAAATTTTAGAAAAATAAAAGATAGAAAATGGAACAGCAGAATGTAAGAATGTATATTAGGGATGCAGTTCGGACATCACTCATATCGAAGACCATAACAAGAGCATCCAACTGGTCGAGATGAGGGAGGGAATCAAGAGAAAACCCTTGCCCAAGATGTGCCGTCCAAACAGAAAGATCTGCTGAGTAGTACTTTGTGTCAATGTTCCACCTGGATAACAATCAATAGCAAAAGAGATCCAGTTAGGTATCAAAAGGCTAGCTCAAAATTATGTCCTCTACTTCTCTAAGTATTGCAACTCATTCAAGGAAATAAACTGCGCTAGTACAGTCACATACCCCTGACACAGCACACCTGATGACAAGTCATGTGTGTCCGGTATTTCAGCTGCAAGCAGTCCTGCAGTTTATGTAAAATTATTATAAACTAAGAGGATGGAAACAGGAAAGGGCCAAGTATATATACATATAAATCTATATCTCCAACTCACAAGTAATTTTTCAATTATCTTTTCGACAATAATTCGTCAATCTGATGCATAACGAGCATGCTGTTTTTTTTTATCATCTACAAGTGTCTAAAACTATCATGCTTGGGGCTCTTCTTCTCCAACTACTCGAAATTAACTCCCATTTTCACCCAGAATACCAAAGGATCACACGAATATCTCCTCAACGACGCGATGAATTTGCAAGCCCCCTCATATTTTGCTATCCCATCAGGTCGAATATTTTTGCATCCAAATCAAGACACGTCAAAGGCATAATAAAAAAAAGGGCAGCGAGATCTCACGGGAGAGGATGGTTCTCTTGCCGACGCCAGGCGCGCCGACGACGAGGACGCCCGGCCGCGCCTCCAAGGATCCGGCTCCGCTCTCCATCGCCTCGATGAACCAAACCCTGTACCCCCAAAACACCAGTCTTCCTCGCGAGTCGCGACGGCAACGAGGGAGAGAGAGAGAGAGAGAGGAGGAAGAAGACGGAGTAGAAGGCGGTAAGCAGCCAGGGAAACAGGTTTACGCTTTCACCCTAACAATACACAGCCACATCACGCAATTACGGGGCCCACTTGTCATCGTGCGTTTCACAGTTCGCTTTGCCTCCCTCCTCCCGCCGCCAAGCCGCGACGCGTTTGAATGGTGGAGCGCCCATGGCCGCCGCCGTCTCCTCCTCCTCCTCCCGCTGCCGCCTCCTCCCACATGGCCGTCACGCAGGCGCTCGCGGACGCGCTCCGCTCGTGTGGATCCCGCGGCGCGCTCGCCGGGGCGCGCGCTCTGCACGGCCGCCTCGTCACGGTGGGCCTCGCGTCCGCCGTCTTCCTCCAGAACACCCTCCTCCATGCCTACCTCTCCTGCGGAGCCCTCTCCGACGCTCGCCGATTGCTGCGTGCGGATATCAAGGAGCCCAATGTCATCACGCACAACATAATGATGAACGGGTATGCCAAACAAGGCAGTCTGAGCGACGCCGAGGAACTGTTTGACAGAATGCCTAGGAGGGATGTCGCCTCGTGGAACACGCTCATGTCCGGATACTTCCAGGCCCGCCGGTTCTTGGATGGTCTGGAAACCTTCGTCTCAATGCATCGAAGTGGGGATTCGTTGCCAAACGCCTTCACATTTTGCTGTGTTATGAAGTCTTGCGGCGCTCTTGGCTGCCGTGAATTAGCACCGCAGCTGCTTGGGTTGTTTTGGAAGTTTGATTTCTGGGGTGACCCGGACGTTGAGACTGCTCTTGTTGACATGTTTGTAAGATGTGGGTATGTCGATTTTGCTTCAAGATTGTTCAGTCAGATTGAGAGGCCAACTATTTTCTGTCGGAACAGTATGCTAGCAGGGTATGCCAAGTTATATGGTATTGATCATGCTATTGAGTATTTTGAGGACATGGCTGAACGAGATGTTGTTTCATGGAATATGATGATAGCAGCGTTGTCCCAGAGCGGGCGAGTCAGAGAAGCCCTTGGTTTGGTTGTAGAAATGCACAGAAAAGGTGTGCGTCTTGATTCAACAACATACACTAGTTCTCTGACTGCATGTGCTAGATTGTTTTCTTTGGGATGGGGTAAGCAACTCCATGCTAAGGTTATCCGTAGCCTACCACAAATTGACCCTTATGTTGCCAGTGCTCTAATTGAACTATATGCAAAATGTGGCAGTTTCAAGGAAGCAAAGAGAGTTTTCAATTCTTTACAAGATCGCAACAGTGTATCATGGACAGTTCTTATAGGGGGATCTTTGCAGTATGAGTGCTTCAGTAAATCTGTCGAGTTGTTCAATCAGATGAGAGCTGAGTTGATGGCAATTGATCAATTTGCACTGGCAACTCTAATAAGTGGCTGTTTCAACAGGATGGATTTGTGCCTTGGTAGGCAGCTGCACTCGCTCTGTCTGAAAAGTGGACACAATCGAGCTATCGTCGTCTCCAATTCTCTCATCTCGTTGTATGCGAAGTGCGGTGATCTCCAGAATGCTGAATTTGTATTCAGTTCAATGTCTGAAAGGGATATTGTATCATGGACTAGCATGATTACTGCATATTCTCAAATTGGGAACATCATTAAGGCTCGTGAATTCTTTGATGGCATGGCCACAAGGAATGCCATTACATGGAATGCAATGTTGGGGGCATATATACAACATGG